TTTCTTACTAGACAAGTTAATTTGTTCCTCCCTAAGAACTAATGAATTGTTGAGTTTGCTAGATATGTCCTTGATTTCTGCATTAAGTCTTTTATTTTCCTCCAACAATTTAACGATGTACTTTTGCATCGGCAAGTTTAGCGGCAATGTCATTTTCGACTTTTACTGAGTCTACATTCTCTTCTTTAATTGAATACATTTTCTATTTGAATAATTTCTTTGTAAATACCTTTTAAAATTCTCTACTAACTTTTACTGGGCCCTAGTATCGTAAGTTATCTTGAAAAAAAAAGTGTATTGTAAATGAACTTTTAAAGTATAAATAAATAATTAATAAACAATAAAAATAAAGATAATAAATTATATGATTTTAAAGTTTATGTAAAAATTGAATAAAACGAAAAATTCGAAAATTTTTATTTTATTTTATTTTTTTTTTTTTTTTATTTTTTTTTTTTTTTTTAAATTTAATTATTTTTAATTATTAAAATTATTAATTATTATAATTGATTGATTAAATGACTATTTAAGTTATAATTATTTAATTAATTGAATTTTGATGATAATACATACTGTACAGTAACTGTAAGCAAATGGGTAAAGATCTTAAAAGGTTTAGAGGATTATAGGGCAAGAATGGAAAGAGAGGATACTGAGCCAGAATGGTCAGAAATGTGTAGGATCATTAGAAGAAAGGACGACGAAGTCGAACGTCGTGAAGTTGTTACAAGCAAACTAGAGAAAGCCAAATCTGGTGTTAACGATGAGGGTAAAGGATACGACAACCTCATTAGACCACTCAGGGATAGTTTGGTTCTATTCAGAGAACAGACCATCTATCAAAAAGCAATATTCATATGCAATTATTTGTCGCTCGGAATTGGTATCGAATTCAACGAAAAGATCAATAAAAGTTATGGAAAGGGTGAGATAGAAGAGACGGATATTGACGAATGGTTTAGCGTGTTAGAAAGAATTGTAGAAAGCTTCAAGAAAAAAGCAGAATTCATTAGGAAAAGAGCTCCCAAACAATTTAAGTCATCGCAGAGTGAATCGGCCACAGAGACTAAGGAGTTCAAGAAGAGCGAAAGGCATAAATGCTTTAACTGCCAAGAAGAAGGACATAGAAGTGCCCAGTGCCCCAAAGGTAAAGGAGGTAAACCTCAATAACTTCAATGTCGAAGCAGGCGGGCAAGAGTCTAGAAGTCTTGCTATGTATGTACGTGTAGGTAATCAGTGGGTACATGCATTAATCGACACTGGTTGTAACATGAGTTTAATTAATCCGAAGTATACCAGAAAGAAGTTCAAGGGTATGAAATTAATTAAGACGTCAGCAAGAATTAAAGTACCGGTTGGGAAGGATACGAAAGACTATAAAGAGTACATGTCAAATTATAGCGTATCGATGGCCATGTATTTTAACACATCACAAGGTAAGATTTCAACATAAATGAAGCTTCAAATAGTTGAAATGGAACATGACCTCGTGTTGGGTATGGATTTTATTAGAGGTGACATATTATCTTTAAATTACAGTAGTCCATACTTAGGAAAGTTGTTCAAAGATGCAAATGATAATAGAGTATATCACAGGGTCAAAGTACCGTTATATGAAGTAGGTAAAGATTGTGGAGACCGTAGAACAATGATTACAGCATCGAAAAGTTGGGTAGATTGGAAGTTAAATAAGGCACAAGCGGCAGCGTTAAGAGTGGTAACTGTTACAGGTATTGGAGTACCTAAAGCAAGTCCAAGTAGTGGTTCGGATAGTGGTTCAGATAATGGGTCAAAGGATGGTTCAAATGTTGGTTCAGATGTTGGTTCAAGCAGTGGGTCAAGTGTTGGTTCAAGTGATGGGTCAAATATTGGTTCAAGTAATGGGTCAAATATTGGGTCAAGTAATGGGTCAAATGTTGGGTCAAGTAGTGGATCAAGCAGTGAATCAGATACGGTGGTTGCAGGTAATAGTGAAGTTAATGGGTCAGCGAGTGGTACTACAAGTGTTAACAAAGTGGTAGAGAAGAGTCCGGTCAATTCAAATATCAGTTCAGAAAGCATTAAAGCAAAATCAGATGAAGAACTGAAAATAGAAAAAGAAATCATGAGAATCAGGGAGATGTTTAAAGATATTTTGGTAGAGGAATTACCAAAATTTAATCCACCAGAAAGACCTGAATTCGATATGAAGATTGAAGTAGTAGAAGGTAGTAAACCAGTTCAAGTTAGCTACGGTCGTCGTTCAGATGATGAATTGGAATACATAGAAAAGGAGGTTAAGAAATTACTAGATGCGGGTGTAGTCCAAACTAGCACATCACCTTACTGTACAGAGCCTTTTATTAATAAAAGAGATGGTAGAGTTGTTTTTGATTTTAGAGGTATTAATAATCAAACAGTCGATTTACCTTATCCAATGCCGTTGATTGATCAGTTATTAAATAAAGCAAAGAACGCTAAATACTATACGAAATTGGATTTAAAATCAAGCTATCATCAATTACTTGTTCGTGCATGCGATCGTAAATATACAGCTTTCAAAGCTAAAGGTCGTTTGTATGAATTTACTAGGGTACCATTTGGGTTGAAAGGTTCTCCAGCTTGGTTCAATTGATGGATTCAAGAAGTCATTAAGGAATTCATAGAATACTCAGGTGCGTACATCGATGATACAAAATGACAATTTAAGTTATAATTAATTAATTAATTGAATTTTGATGATAATACATTACATCAAGTAAAAGAACTCGACTAAAACATCAATGTTCATTTACATTACAAATGCTCCCAGTACTCTAATGATTTAGCCAAAATCACCGGGAAGATAAATTCTTCTTCAAAAGAATCGATAGTTGCAGGGTTTGAACCTGCGCCCCCGAAGGGAATGCCTTAGCAGGGCACCGCATTAACCACTTTGCTAAACTACCTTGGATGATTTTTTGAATTCATTCCTGCTTTAAGTCCGATTCTTAATATATTTTAGATGGCATTTAAATGCTGTTAAATTAACGATAACCCCAGTAAGATATAGCTTATATAACAAATCTCATTCAGTATAAATTTTTCATTTTTCAGTCCAAAATTTTAGAGGTTTTAACTATTCAATAAACTACAATTTCATTATACATACTATGAATATTTATTTGTTTATTTTTTATTGTTTGTTTTACTTCACTTATAAGCTATAGAGAGCTACATTACATTTCAAACTCAAAGTTGATTTTAGATAACAAAAAATAGAAGATAATAAATGAACCTGGCGCCTTTAAATACACCTGGAAAGCTGCATAACATTATTGAAATATAATTATTAAAATTTGTGATAACCTTTTTCAAAGACCCTTTTTGGGATAATGATCTAAACAAAAAACCAATAAAGATGTCTTAAATTTGCATTTGGAAAGTTTTTTTGTTTTATTAAAATTATAACAAAATAACCCTTTGCTATGCATTCAAATTGAATGGCTAATGATTTGACTTTGAGAAAATTGAAAAGAAGGTATAAAAAACTATTAAATGCGAATCTGGTGTAGTTTTCAAAATCACCTGACGATAAATCGACATGGCACCAGACTACGCAATAAAAAAGCGACTAACATCATCTCTGTAAGTAAACCTACAATCTCAAAAATGAAAGATGTAAATCTAGGCCGCCGTGCGAATAGTATGAGAATAACGCATCAGTAAGTGAATCAACGAAAAGAGAAGGATGCTCATTAACCGGCATGTTTAAGGCTTTACCACCAGTAATAAAAGTTCTTGGGGAAAGTGGTTATACCTTAAATTACCAAATTGTTGTCGCTTATCCATCAAACAAAAGAAGATATACAGAGAGTTAATGATATAAAAAGAATGAAAACAATCACTGTTACCAAAAGTGTACTGGCACAAATAAATTAGACTTGCTAAAAATGGTTTATCCAGTTGGTGAATAAGTGTCACTCCATACAACTGGATCGTACTGTGCTTTAAGAATTATTATTATTTCCTGTAACATTATGTAAATCGATAGGTACCATGTTATTAAGATAGTGGTTAACGATTAAACAAAAAAAGGATTTGTTTTAATTATTTTTATTTATAAATAATTTACATGTAATTTATAATTATTAGTGAATTATTATGAAATTAAAACACTTTAGCTCTAAATAAAATAAATTTCTTTAAAAACTATTTTATTTTGTATTTTTTTTTAATTATTTGAAAAAACTCATGCGTGTTTATAAATTTATAATTTCACATTAATAATTATTTTATAAAGCAGAAAAAAAATTTTTTGTGTGGCGAATGAAAATTTATTTGATCACATTCACAAAAATATAAAAAAAAAATACAAAAAGAAAGAAAAGAAAAGAAAAGAATATAAGAAAAAAAATAAGAAAAATAAAAATAAAGTTTAAATTAATAACCTGCCTAAAGATAAGATCAAATTTTGCAATTATTAATTTTAAAAAAATTCCAAAAATAAATTTATTTTTAATAAAAAAAAAAAAAGAGTGAATTATATTTGTTTGGTTTTATTATTTTGTATAGCTACTGTAATTATAATTTTTTTATTTTATTTAAAACAATTTTTTTTCAAAAAAAAACTTAAGTAATTATTGTATACATTACGAATTCAGTTATAATTTATTTTTTTAAAAATTAATTTTTTTTTTTTTTTTTTTTTTTAAATTTTTTTTTTTTAATTTGTTTTTTTTTTTTATAATTTTTTTTATAATTTTTTTTACAAATAGAAAAAAAAGAAAAAATCAATTCTTGTTTTATTTTTAAAAAAAAAATCTTTTTTTTTTTTTTTTTTTACTAAAATTATAAATAATATCAATATCAATAATCAATAATATTATTGATAATAATAGTATTGTATCATTTTAATAATAATATTAATAATAATATTAATATAATAAAAATAATTATTGTAAATAATGATGATGAGAAAAAGAGTTACGATTAGATTTTATGTTAAAAAGAAATTGGATTATGGCCAAAATCTAAGAGTATGTGGGTCAGTACAAGGATTGGGTAACTGGAGTACTGGGTCTTCAATTCTTATGAATTGGAATGAAAATGATTGGTGGTGTGGAGAATTTCAATTTGAAGCAACATCAAATCTACCAAAGAACAATTTTAAATTAGATACTTCATCTTATTATTACAAGAATGCATTCTCATTGGACGGTAGCAATAATGGCAGTAATAGTAATAGTGGGTTTATTGATCAACAAAAAATAAATTCATTATTTTCAAATAATAAAAAGAATAATAAATTGCTAAATGACTCTAGTAGTGATAGTAGTGCCAACAATAGCTTAATAGAAGGCGAGTTAAGTGATGACGAAGAATACTTTTTAGATAATAATGCAATAAATAACAATAATAATAATAATAACTATAGTAATAGAAATAATAGTGGGATTGAAGATTATTTTGGTTTCTCAAATAAAAAAGAAGAGGCTAAAAAACAACAACAAATCATTCACTCAATGTCATCATTTACCCTAAACCATGAAGATTGCAATGGTTTCATTAATAGCAATAATAGTAGTTTTAATGGTGGTGGTGGTAATGGATATTCAAGTAATAGTAGTACCACCAGTGGTGGCTCATCAATGTATCAGTTAAATAATAGCCAATCGTTATCACCATCACTAAAAGGTACATCACCACAGCTCATAGAATTTGATTATAAATATGTCTATAGCAAGTATGATGATTTCATTTGGGAAACTGGTCGTAATCATAAAGTTTCATTTATGCTATGGTCCAACGATTTTTCAAATGAGGAAGAAGAAATTTATATTGAAATTAGAGATATTTTTGATGGTGTAAGTTTATTTATTTTTATAATATTAATTATAAATATTTTATTAATAATTTTTGTTTATTAGGGATGTGACGTATTCCCAACATTAGATTATAGATCAATTAATAAATCAAACTCAACATCACCATTACAAACATCAACCAATTCAACCAATCAAATGTTTTTCGGTATGAATGATTTAAATAATAAATATTTATTTTTGCAACCACTAGAATCGCAAATTATACCAAGATTTCCTTCACAAATTGTAACATTTTTTGTAATGAATGAAGGGGATTCAGAATTTCATTCAATCAATTTGGTTAGTCAATTCTTTGGTACAGATAGCCAAAAGTCATTAAGAATGTATCCAGTTACAAGAGCAGGATTCGGTGCACCCAACACTCTATGGATTGGTCAAATCTACTCACCACAGCCAATGAAGTTTGAATACCATTATGTTGTAACCAGTAGTAACAACCAAGGTATCTATTGGGAGAAAGAAAAGAGAACTTTTTCAACTTCAAATAATAATGACAATATCATTGTAAACAATGATGGTATGATTAGATACAGTGATGATGTTTCTCAAGGTTGGATTAAAACTGGCTATGTTGGTCTTTTGGAGCAAGATGAAAATTGTTCAATCTCTTGTGTCGTTCAATTACTTTATCACATCAAACCTCTAAGACAAGTAATAAAAAATTTGGGTGGTAAAATTGGTTTCCCATTCACTCAGTGTTTAGCAAAAATTTTCACTCTAATGGAAATGGGCTTCAATACAATCGATATCAATCCATTACCAAGCTCAATTGGTTCAAATGATTCTGCTGAAATTTTAGAAATTGTTTTAAATGAATTATTACAAGAAATTAATACTGTAAGTAATTTATTATTATTTATTATTTATTATTTTTAAAAAAATTTTAATAATATTAAAATTTAATTTTTTATTTTTTTTATTTCCAGATTTCAAAAAATACAAATAACTCACAATTAAAAATTAATTCAATTTTTGAAGGTGAAGTTCAAAATACCTTTGTTTATATTGATAAAGATGGTAGAATAGAATCAATTAAAACAAAGAATGAAACATTCAATACAATTATTTTACCAGTTAAAGGATTTTCATCATTAGAGCAATCATTGAAATTTTATAGACACAGTGAAGAAAGACCACATCAACACGATATTGACCACAATGATAATGGTGGTCTTTATGAAACTATGAATGACTTTATAACCATACCAGATATCTTAATTTTCCAACTAGATAGAACTGACTACGATAATAGAAGAACTATTAAAGTTTCAAATACCTTTAGCTTTCCAAAATCCCTCGAAATTACAAGTAACAATGGTGATCGTTCTAAATTCAAAATTTTAGGTATTGTCTGTCACAGTGGTGGTGATTTCTACAGTGGTGGTCATTTCTTTTTATTCATCCAAATGAATAAATATTGGTATAGATTTGATGGTTCAAAAGTATTAATTTCAAATTATCAAGAAGCTGTAATAAATAATTTTGGTGGTAATAATACAAATCAAAATGCTTGTAAGTTTTTTTTTTTTTTTTATTATTATATTATATATTTTATTTTTATAAAAATATTAATTTATTTTGTATTTTTAATTATTTATAGATATTTTAGTTTATGAAAAAATCAAATAGTCCTTTTAATATATAAAATATAGCTATAATAATATAACTATTTTTCGCTTCCCCTATATATTTATCTTTTTTTATTATCACCTCATATCAGAATAGTGTTCAACATAGATTCAATGATTTTTTTTTGTTATAGTTATTTTAAATTAAAATAAAAATAAAAAAAAAATAAAAAAAAAAAAATTTTGTTTGTAAATATTTTATTTATTCATGATTTTTCGCACATGGTTTTAATATTAAGGATTTTACCTTATAGTTTTAAAAGCTGGGAAAATTGTTTATTATATTTTTTTATTTTATACAGAATTGAAAAAAATTACGTCATGTCGGTAAAAAAAGATTTTTTTTTTTTTTCGAATTTTTAAGTTTTTTTTATGAACGAAATTGGTTAAATTCGAAAACCGGTTCGGAAAGGTTATCATCTTTAATACCTATTTTTTTGAGTTTTTCCAGTACCAACCAAAAAAATTGTTTTATATAAAAATATCAAAATTTTTTTTATTTTTTTTTTTTTTATTTTTACACAAATAATTTTGGAAAATGATAAATAAAATATTTTTATTAATATTATCTTTATTAGTGTTAACTATTAATATTGGTTTAGCAGCAAATAGTTGCACCAGTTATGTTGATATTAACAGTGAATTCGATCAAAGCAAACCATGTGGTGCTAGTTTAGAAACATCATGTAAAAATATAAGTAGTGCACTTTTAACATGTAATTTAGTAGATTTTAATCAAGCAACATTCAATATTCAACCAGGTCAATATAACTTTAATAATATCGATGTATTTGGCTCAACCATCACACAAGGCAAATCAATAAGTATTATAAATCAAAAATATAGTACAGTTTCTGCCAATTCAACTACCACTTTAACATCAGTTATTTTCGATTTAACCAATTCATTAAATTCATTTTTAAATCTTTCAAGTAATTCAACAAACTCTTCAAACAAAATTTATATTTATGGTATTACATTCAGAAATGGTAATCTTAAAGCACATGATGGTGGCTTTGGTGGTTCAGTTTTAGCAAATTTAGGTACCGGTGGTCAAGATATTACATTTGATAGCTGTATCTTCCAAAACAATTTAGTTAATGGTGCCTCATCCCTCTATGGTGGTTCCATTGTTTTTTCAAATAACAAAGCACAAGTAAACCCAATCAATTTAAACATCAAGGGCTGTACCTATCAAAACACATTTTCAAATTCTATTAAAGGTGGTTTTATTTATATCGATAATAACCTTCAAGTAAACTTAACAATCACCCAATCATTATTTACCAACTTTTATGGTACCACCGGTGGTCTTGTATATTATGCCAGTGTACAATCAAGCGATAGCTCCCTATTCCAATTTACCAATTCAAGTATTACTTTGGGTCTTAGTAATGCTGCTTTCTTTATTACCATCCCAGGTACAATCGAAAACATTAATTATTTCAACAATATTGGTGGTGTAGGCTTTGGTATCGCTTCAACCTCATACATCAACACTTTCTTTAACAATTGCCAATTCACAAGCAACTCTGAAACTACACCCGTTCTTATACTCCAAAATCCAGTATCCGTTGTATTCAATGGTTGCATATTTAAAAATAATAATGTTTATAGATTTTCTTCCAGAAATCCTGCCATTACTGTTAATGAAGGAACTGCATCCATTAACAATTGTTCATTTACAAATAACAATGCAATCAATGGTGGTAGTATTTTTATCAATGGAACCTATATTGGTGGTTCAGTTTATGTGCAGGTCTTTATTCGACTCTAACAATGCACAAATGGTGCTGGTATTTATTTAGAAGCAGGCCAAGTTTCATTTGGTACAGATAACACATTTGAGAATAATGTCGCAGTCACTGGTTCAACAATTTATTGCAAAGCCTCACAAATGGATTTCCGTAATAATCAAATCTCATTTATTGACAACACAGACACCTCATCACCAAATAGTAAATATGGTTTTGGTTGCGCCACTTCATCATCATGCACCATCTTGGGTACTTCAGATTATTCCTGTAGTGCAAGCGAAGATTCAAATAAAAAACATTTGACTGGTGTCCAAATAGCCTTCATTGTCATCGGTGTATTAGTAGGTGTAGTTATAATTGGTTTTATTGTTATTAAAGTCGCTAGAAAAGTTTCACAAAATAATTATAAACCAATTGGTTATTAATAAAAATAAAAAAACTATATATTATATAAATTAATTTTCTTTTGTTTTATTTTATTATTAACCCTTTATAAAATTTACTTTAAATATTAAACTTCAAATTAATATGATTGTTTCAAAGTTTGTTAATAAAAATAATTATCATTAAATATTTAGTATATATATATTAACTAAATATAATCAATTTGTTTCCAATATTATATTATATCACCATCGAAAACAATATATATTTATTTATATCTTTATTATCTCTTTTAGTAATAATAAAAAATAAAAAAAGTAAAAAAAGTAAAAATTGAAAAAAATTGAAAAATGATAAATTTAAAAATAAATAAAAAAAAAAATTTACAAAAATATAATTACATAACTTGAAAACCGATAAACAAGAAAAAATATTATAATAATAATCGTATCAATAATAATATTTAGTTGGGTATTGTAACTTTCAGAAAAAAAAAAAAAAATTTCTTATAACATTAAAAAAAAAAAAAAAAGAAACGTATGCATGAATATATAATTAATTATAAGCATTATATAATTAATTATCATTTTTAATTAATTTATTATCATTTTTAGCAAAAAAAGTACAAAAAATATTAAATTTACTCGGGATTTCATTTAGGAAGAAGATATTTATTAATTAATTTTTTTTTTATTATTTTTTATAATTTTTTTTTTAATTTTTTTTTTCGTAATTTATTTATTGATTAGCTTAGGTTGCTATGGATTTTCTGGATAATCACACTTATATAAGTTTATAAACAACAAACAATAATAAATAAATAATGTAAATATAATTATAATTATCATTATTATTTTTATTTTTTTTATAAAAGAAAAAAAAAAAAAAAAAAACCACTCGCTCAACACCATGTCTGAGCATATACGTGTAATAGTACTATTTTTAGGTTAGAAAACATTTATTTCTTGTCGTTGATTATTGTTTTTGTCGTTGTTTACTTATCATGTTTGTCGTTGATTTTTATTTTTTATTTTTTTTCTTTTTAAAAATTTTTAAAATATCATTTTTAAATTTTCACAGAAATAATTATAATTATAATAAATTAAATATCACAAAACCTTAAAAACAAAAAAAAACATAATAACATTTTATTATAATATGAAAACGACAAAAAAACAACTAAATACACATATTTTCCACATTCATTTCCTCTTAATAAAAATAATAATAAAAAAATAACATTACCCCACACAAAAAAGAAAAAAGTTAATACACTTTTTTTTATTATTTTTTTACGATTGTGTTATTATTTAAAATAGTTTTTAATCTAAAAAAAAAAAAAAAAAAATCAGGAGTTGATTGTTTTAATTATTGTAAAAATTTAAAAAAAAAAATCAAAAGAAAAAAAATTTATAAAAAAAAAAAAAATCTTTTTTTTTTTCCAATCACATTTTTATCTCAGGAAAAGAGATTGTTATAAAATTTCGAATTACACCCCCCATTTTAAAAATTCGAATTTCTATTGGTATTTTTTTTTTTGAGGGGATTCGTTGGGGTATCATAATTTTTTAAGATATTTGGTTGTTGTAGCAAAATTTTGATGGTGTGCACATATTTAAAAAAAAATTTAAAAAAAAAATTTTGTTTTTAAAAAATAAAAAAAAAACTTGCATATTGTAAAGTACAATACATACACAATTTAAATATTAATAATCACTATAATAATGTATGTGAAAAAAATTCGAATTTTTCATAAAAATTGTCTTTTTTTTTTTTTTTTTTTTCTTTGGATATTTATTTTTACTATATTTGATCAAATTTAACAATACACCAACAATAAACAGCATCAACTGCAATAAAATTTTAATCCAATTAACACACACAAAAAAAAACATTTTTTTTTATAATGGGTGGGGGTTATGTTGTTATTTTTTTATAATGGGCAATGTTGTTAGATATTTCATAAATAGATATGTTAAAGTCGTACTAAAATAAATTATAATATTTTTTTTTTTTTAATTTTTTTTTTATTTTTTTATTTTTTTTTCATATCAATTTTTTTTTTTATATAAAAAGATTGTTAAATTATATTTTTTCATTAAATAGTAATATTAATAGTAGAGAAAATATATTGTAAGTTCTCACCTACTTTATTAATAGAAATAAAAAATATTATTGGCCTAAAAAAATAAAAAAAAAATATTGACAAACTTGGAAATAATTAATAAAACACCCACATAAATTTTTTTTTTTTTTAATGTTAACACATTTGTAATCAAAGAAATTAAATAGCTCTAAATAAAGAAAACACTTTTAAAAATTCCACTCACATTATCGATTAAAATACACAATCTTTTATGTTAATTTGGTGATACGAAAAAAAGATAATGTTTAATCCATTTTTAAAGTTATACAATGTTGTTTATTCCTTTTATATAAAGAGAAAAAAAGATTTATATATTAATTAAACTGTGCTATAAATATAATAAACACCTCATATCAAATTCACACACACTCTCACTTAACAACACACACTATTACCTAACAATACACACACTCTCATATAAATTTTATTAATAACACACTTTCACATTTAAAAACAACACGCACTCTTCTTCGCACTCTCATATAAAAAAAGATAAAAAGATAAAAAAAATTTATGTGCAAAAAAAAAATGACTATTTTCTAAAAATATAATATATACATATATGTATATATATATATTTTTGTTTATTTAAATTTTATTTTTTTTTAATTTTTATTTTTTTATTTTTTTTTAAATTAAATTATTATTTTTAAATTCAGGAAAAAAAAAAAAAAAAAAAAAAAAAAAAAAGTACAATTGAATATACATATATGTGTATTAGTTAATAAATATATATTTAAATAGATATAATTTATATATGAAAATAATAATTCAATTAAAATAAAACAACTGCATAAATCAATCACATCAACGCATTTAATCTGTTTCTGTTGTTTTTATTTTAAAAACTATTGTTTTTCCACATTAAAGCCATTTATTATTATTAAAAAACAATTTCTACTTTTATTTTTTCATTATCACATACGTTTCATTTTCATATAATTTTTAAACCTTTATTATAATTTTTACAAATTATTTTAATTTTTTTATTAATTTTCATTTTTTTTTAATTTAAAATTTTTTTTCATTCCAAATTCAAAAAATTTTTTTTCATAAATTCAAAAAAAAATAATAAATAGTAGTAAAACCAAAAATAATTATTCAAATATAAATATAAGTTCAAATCCAAACCATATATATTACCAAAATGAAAATAACAAAATGGAATATTTCAAAAAAAATTAAAAATATTTTAAAAAAAGAAAATAATATCGATGATATAGTTATAATAAAAAAAAATAATAATATAATAAACTATAATAATAATTTAAATAATAATAATAATAATAATAATAATAATATAAATATTATAAACTCATTACCAATTGAAATTTTAATTTTAATATTTAAAATAATTATAAAATCTTATAAAATTGAAATACCAAACCATAAAGAATTTAGTAATATAATAAAAACATGTAAGCTTTGGAATGAAATTGGTTTATCAATATTGGATAGTATAAAATTGGATAGAAATCAACAATTACCAAGTTTAGAATGTTTTAAACAATTAAATAAAATGACATCGATGAAGCAATTAAGTGTTATTGATGGAGAGCCAATGAAGCTACCCTACATTGAAGTAATCATCAACGTGTTTTCAAGACCTTCAAGTTGTTTAACAAGTATAAATTTATTTTCAAATAAAATTGGTGATGTAGGATTCGAAAGATTGGCCAAAGCATTAGAGACCAATGAAAGTATCAAGTTTTTAGGATTGTCTTATTGTGGTTTGGGTAGTAAATCAGGCAAGCCATTGGGACAATTATTCAAGAACAATTCTACCATTAGAGAAATTATTTTATCATATAACAGCTTGGGTAAAACAGGTACCATTGAAATGGCAAAGGGTTTACCATACACCAAATCATTATTCAAACTATCATTATCACATAATGAAATTGGTGATGAGGGAGCTAAAGAAATTGGATCGGCATTGTCTCAAAATAAGACCATTAAAGAATTAGATCTAAGATGTAACTCTATTGGTAGCATGGGTAGCAACTATATCTGTCAGTATTTAAAAGATAACATCTCATTGGTAGAGATTGACCTTTGGGGTAACCTATTAGGAAATGATGGTGCATCGGGAATTGGTATGGCCTTACAATCAAACAAATCCATAAAGTCCATCAATCTAACTAGAAACTCAATTCAAGAACAAGGTATTAAATTTATAACCAATGCACTCTCATTGTCAGTTTGTTCGATTGTTACAATTGATCTTAGTTCAAATCAATTGGGTTTGGAAGGCGCAAAACAAATTTCAAAAGCCATTTCTCAAAATCGTTCAATTGAAAATATTAATTTATCTTCAAATAAATTTGATTCCGATGCTTCAAAGATATTGTGCACCAGTTTACTTTCAAATAAAACAATTAAAACTCTCAATCTATCAATGAACGATATTGGGGAAAATGGTTGCATATATTTTTATCAAATTCTCAAAGAAACCAATTTAAAAGAATTAAATCTTTCATTAAATAAAATTGGAAATAATGGTTTAAAAAATTTATTATTAAACGATTTTCAAGAAAATTTAATAATAGGTAATAACAATATTATAGAAATTAATAATAATAATAATAATAATAATATTAATAATAATATCGATAATAGTAATAATATAATTGTAAATAGCAACGATAAATTTAGATACGAATCAAAAGATTTTAAAAATATAAAATCTTTAAATTTATCACAAAATCAAATAACTCTTTCAAATGAAATTATTGAAATCGTTTTAACAACTTTAAAAAATAATAGCCAATTAAAAATATTTAATTTAGAATCAAATATAATCAATATAAATGGTACTATCAATAACACCGAATTATTAAAACAATTAACAACATATTCAAAATTAAATAATATTCAAATTGGTTATTTATAAAAAATAATAATGGTTTTAAATAAAAAATTTATAATTTCAAAATTTTTTTTTTTTTATTATATTTAAAAGTATAAAAAAAAAAAAAAAAAACTTTAAATATCATATTTTTTATATTCTTTCTTTTTATTTCTTTTTATTTTTTTTTCAAAACAAATAAAAATATATCATATACTTTTAATTAGTTTTTTTTTTTTTTTTTTTTGAATGAAGTCAATAAAAATAATATTGTTAAGTATTTTTTATTGGGATAAAAAAAGTGTGTAAAAAAATATACAATCAAATGGGATATTATTTTTAATCTAGATTTATTTTATTTACCCAAGTTGGGCTGAAAAGTGGGGGGGTGAATAAAGTTAAATTTTCCCCCCTCTCTCATTTTTTCTTTTTTTTAATGATAATGTTATCATTAAAAAAAAAAAAAACACATGCGCATATAATCTAAAAACAATTTATAATAATGAAAATAATGATTAAAAAAAAAAAAAAAAAAAAAAAAAGAAAAAATCTAAAAAAATAAAATTTTTTTTTTTCTTTTTATTTTTTTATTATTTTTAAATAAAACAAAAAAAAAAATAAAAAGTTTTTTTCCCAATCATTAAAAATAGAGATAATTATAGAATTTACATAATTGTAATTTTTTTTTTAATAAAATTATATAACACAATAATTAAAAAAAATAATAAATAAACAAAGTATTAAAGATGTCAACTTCATCACACGAAGGTAGCACAACCACTGGAATGAGTCAAACCCAAATCGCTCAAAATAGATGGGAGCAAGCACAAGAAAAGGTAAAGAGTATTATAATAGAATAGAGCATTTGTTTTAAATACTAACATTATTATTTTTAAATAAAGGCATTCTTAAATTGGGTAAATTCATTATTAGTAAAAAAAAATTTAAAAATTGAAAATATAGCCACTGATTTTTCAGATGGCACCAAATTAATTTATTTCTTAGAGTTGGTATCAAATAAAAAATGTAGAAGAAAGTTTAATCCAGAACCAAAAGATAAAGTATGTATATTAAATGATAGGATATAAATTAATATATATAAAAATATTAATTTTTTTTTTTTTTATAAAAAAATAAAAGATTAATAGAATTCAAAATATTTCAATTGCATTATGGTTTATTGAAGAGGATTTAAATATTAAAAATAGAAGTATAGGAGCAGAGGATTTTTATGATGGTAATAAAAAGATGATATTTGGATTTTTATGGTCATTATATAGAAAGTTTAGAATTTTAGGTATTAGAGCAGACGGAAATACAAGCGGCAGTGGAGGAGAGCAAGATTTATCCTCATCAGGTATAGCTCAAGAGCAAATCGAAGCAGAGAATAATTTATTAAAATGGTGCTCCAATTTAACTGGTATCAATGTCACACAATTCAAGAATGGATTTAAAGACGGAATGGCCTTTTTATCGATGGCAAAACAATTATCAAGTGACCAATCATCCACATCTTTATTTGACGATTTAGCAGGCAGTGGTGTCGACTCTATTGCACGTTTGAATGCAGTTTTCGATTTCGCCGAAAAGAACTTAAACATCCCTAAGCTTTTAGATGCCGAAGATTTAGTTAATGGAATGGTAGACGACCGTACTGTGATGTTATACACCTCTATGTTTTACAATGCCTATGAAGTTAAAAAGAAAAAACAAAAGAGTGAAACCGAGATCTTGATGGAGCATGTCAAAGAGGTTGTAGAAAAAGAGCAAGTTTCAATCAAAAAGATGTTTGAACTCGAAGATCAATTACAAATGTACACTGAAGAGTTACGTATTCAACGTTTTGAACGTATGGTAATGGAAAAAATGGTACGTGATCAAGAGAACCAAAAGTTCCTTTCAAATCTCCTCTTACTTCGTGACCAATTAGAAGACCACCAAATTAAATTATGTAAACTACAACAAAAGGTTCAAGAAGAAGCCTCTGGTAAACGTGCTCCATTATGGGGTGCTCCACAAATTTCAGCTGATCTCTCAAAAGATCAATATGAACAAGTTCAAATTTTAGGTGACCTTTTAGAAGAAGAGTCAAATCGTATTAATAGAATAGTTCAACTCGAAGAAGTTAAACCAATTCAATTTTTAAAAAAAAATCAACAAATTCAAAATAATTAAAAGTAATAATAATATCGGTTGATACAAAAAAAAATACAAAAAAAAAAAAACTATTTATTTATTATATATATATAAATCCAAATCCAAATCCAAACCCAAACAAATAAACAATATAATATTACATTACTTGTACAAATAAATAATATATACACGTTATAAAGTATGTCTTATTACCTTTTCATGTAGAAAAAAAAAAGTTTAAAAAAAAATAAAAAAAAAACATTTAAATATACAAAATTTAATCAAACATATCATTGATATACTATAGATGAATAATAGTTATGCTTTTAGAATATTATAATACAATGTAATAATATTATTATTTTATTATTTCTTAAAACTTTTCATTTTTAATAAGATATCGTCTTCGTCATCATCATCAAAATTTAAATCTGGTATTTTTGTATTGCTATTACTATTACTAGTTGTTGTTGTTATTGTTATATTTGGGCTGATTGATGATGATGATGATGATGAGGAAGTATTTGTTGTTGTTGTGGTGGTGGTTGTAGTTGTTGAGTTTGATGATTTAAATGTACTTGTAGCAGTATTGGTGTTAACTCCATTCGAATTTGAATTTGTAAATATTATATTATCTGTTGAGTCGCCATTATTGGATCCTTTAAATCTTTCGACTTTAATTTTATATTTGCTTTTTAGATCGTCTTTATTTAATAAAATTTGTAAAACTGAGTCCAGTAATTGGAAACCAGCCAACGCTATAGATGAAGAAGAGCTTGGAGTTTCTACAAAGGTGAATGAGTCGACTTCACCGTAACTGGCCAATAAATTTTGTATATAATCTTGGGTATAGTTTAGTTTGGACTTCCATTTTAATTTAACAACCAACTGATACTCCTGATCCTTTTTAAATTGATCTCGATGTTTTTGTTGCTCCTCTTTCATTTGTTTATTTATTTGATTTATAAAATCTTGTTTAAATTGTTCGTTCTGTTGCTCCACATGTTTACGCTGTAATTCTTCGTTGTCTTTTCGTTTTTTATGTATACTCTCACGTGATAGTAAATCCTCTTTCATCTTTTTTCTAGCGTTACCCATTTCCATCTCTTTTCTCTTCTTTTCTTTTTTTGCAAATAATTGAGAATCAAATAATTTCCTCTTTTCTTCATTGCATAATGTCGTATGTGCAATCGATATCTTTTCAAACATTACAACTGCCTCTGTTGTTTTGTTCTTATCTGGATGGTATATTTTAGCTAATTTTCTGTATGCATTTTGAATTTGATTGGTTGTAGCCGTTGATTCTATTTTTAATATATTATACCAATCTTCAAATTCTTTAATATCCTCCATTATTAATTTTTATAAGTATTTATTTATTTTTATTTTTTTATTTTTTTATTTTATTTTTTAATTTATTTAATTTGTTTATTTTATATAAATATTTGGATAAAATAATCATAAAAATACAAATGGTTATAATAATTAATTTTTGGTAATTTAAATAATTATGTAAAAATAAAAAAAATTATAAAAAATTTTTTATAATTTTTTATAATTTTTTTTTTATTTTTTTTAATATTTTTTATTTTTTATTTTTTCTTTTTATATTTCGAAAAATTTTAAAACACCCTCACCCATTGTGCTTATAAAATTTCATTATAACATTTTTAATAATTGTTGTTCAAAATTATTTATTTATTTATTTATTTTTTAAATTTTTTAATTTATTTTTTAAATTTATTTCAAAAAAACAAATAAAATTTTATTAATAATAATTTATTACAAATTCCATAGCGTATAGATATAAATATTTACTCCTATTAAATAATAATAGAAGCAATAAATAATAGTAAATAATAGTAAATAATAGTGAATAGTAGTAAATAATAGTAAATAGTATAATATAAAAAAAATAAATAAATAATATAAAAAAAATAAATAATTTAATAATACAATAAAATATATATTATAAAAAAAAATGTCGTTTGAAGTTTTAGATTTTATACCAGATTCTGAGGTTAATAAGAAAAGATTGTATGAACCTAGATTCAGTAAAAGGGTTGAAGAGAATTTAAAGAAATTGACCATCGATGGAGATATTACCCCATATAAAGAAAAGAAAAAGAAAGAACATACAATTATAGATCCAATTACAAAGAATCCAGTTCTCAAGAAGTTAGAAAAAAACTCGATATTAAAACTATTGGTCAGCTTTAAAAAAGGTTCACAGTTAAATATTAGAAAAAATAGATTATTTAAATTTGATGTCTCAAATACTTTAAATGATGACTCACAAATATTTTTAGATCCAATCGATCATAGATTTCCAGATTTCTCCCAAATTTTCCTCAATAGATTTTCAGTTTCAAATTGCATTAATCACAACCCATTTCCAATTGTATTGCATTTCAGTGGTTTACCAAAGTCTTTAGGTTTATCTTTCAAAGAGAAATCTTTCAATATTTTAGTTCCCTCAAATACCACCTCTGTAAATTGTTCGAGTGTCAAGCAACATTTAGTTAATGGTTCAAAAAAGAAATCAAATGGTGAAGATGACCCAATTCCAAAACCAATTTTCGAATCTAATAAAATTTATTCACATCCATCTATTTATCCAACTGAACTTTTATTAAGTAGGTATTCTTATATAATACATATTAATATTTATTTGTTTATAATACATATTAATGTTTATTTATTTATTTTAGAGGAAACACCACACGCATTTGTTCCATGTCAAGATACAGATTTTGGTAGAACATGTGAATCAGCTTCTCTTCACACAAATGAAAAATACCATCTTTTTAATATTTTCAATTTTTGTGTTGAAGTAGAAAAATCAGACGGATCAAATTTCAAAAAGGAAGACAACGCATTAGTTTCATTTGAAATAGAACTCAAATATTACTTTCTTCATTATTTCTCTGGAAAAGATAAACTCATGGAAAAAAAAGAAGCAAAACTTTACGGCAAAGTTTAATCTATTTTTCCACCAAGGGAATATATCCCCCCCCAAAAAAAAAAAAAAAAAAAAAAAAAAAAAAAAAAAAGAAATTTTTTTTTTCCTGTATATAAACCACCATACAATTACATTATAATTTTAAAAATAAAATAAAATAATTAATTGATTAGTTAAAATTAGCGTTATTTAGTTTTCTAAAAAAGCATTAGTATTTTTATTTATTTTTTTTTTTTTTAAAATGTAAAAAAAATTAAATTTTTAAAAATAAAATAAAATAATAAAAAAGGAAATAATAAGAAATAATAATAATAAATAAAAAATAGTATTTAGTTTTTTTTTTTTTTTTTTTTTTTAAACCTTTATTTCTTTTTTACATTTTTAAACCTTTTTTCTTTTTTTTTCTTTCAAGTTTTTATTTACATTTTTATTTACATATTTATTTATCTATTTATTTATTTAATTATTTTAACAAATAATCAATAAAATCAAATATTATCAAGAATGGCAGGTATTGATATAGATGCAAGTTATGATACTATAAATAATAGTAATAATAACAATAACAACAATAACAATAATAATAATAACAATAACAATAACAATAATAATGATAAAAACAATGGAATTACAATTGATTCAACTATAGATTTTGGTTCAAATGTTAGAAAAAGTAACATTGGTAATGTTGGAACATTTTCAATTATTTCACCAGAAGATGTAGTGGCCCATGACATATTTTATTGTCAATGTACTCTTATTTTAGGGTTCCTTTTCATATTTCCATGGTTTTTCTCAAGCTTTTACATGTTCAATACACAAAGTGGTTCATTAAAGAAAATGGGTTTTGCTTCCATTTGTTTAATTAATATCTATCTATTATTATTTGTTTTAATTTATTATATTTATAAAATATATAAATTTTAAAATAATAAAAAAAAAAACAAAAAATAAAAAAAATATTTTAAAAAACTATAACTATATATATACTGTATAAAAATAATATTATTATTGTTGGTTCTATTTTATTTAAACAATAGAATAAATTTTATTTATTTTATTTATTTTAAAAATAAAAAAAAAGGTTTTTTTTTAAATAATCGAAATTTAACACATGTGGACTTTGTGACAGATTTTATTTGGGTCTTCGTGTCTTCTTAATTCATCGACAACTTTGTGGAAGACTTTGTCAACAACTTTGTTACAGACATGGGATAATGGTTTACCTAAGTGTTTGCATTCAGAGTGGGCAAATGATTTACCTTCATCAGTACCTTTGTTGATGGTCTTTTCAGCAGCTTTGACGACGTGTTTGCAGGCTGAGCACTTTAATTTCTTGAATGGGTTATGTGGTTTTAAGTGTTTCTTCCAGTGGTGTTTCTTGAGGAGACCTGGGGTGAATTCACAGACACCTAAATCAGTACAGGCATCGACGGCAGTTTGTTGTTCGACAACTTTGTTCATTAATTCGAAACCGAAGGTATCGACAATTTCTTCACAGGCACCTGAGAATTCTTCACCATGGTAGTTACAGGCTGATGAGACGAATGGGATGATTTCAGTGACTGAGACATTTTGGTTGACAAGATCTTCAGTAACACTGTAGGCGAATTGACACATGTCACATTCGAAGGCACGGGCAGCGTTGGTAGCGAAAGCTAAAACACAGACAATTAAAAAGAATAAGAATCTCATTTTGTTGAGGATTTGATTGATTTGTTGATATTAAAAAAAAAAAAAATATAAAAAATTAAACAAGAAGAGGACAAATAAATGGAGGAGGAAGTTAGAGTATAAAGGAAATTAATGTAATACTATTATTATTTGAAAAATACTATTATTATTACAAATACTGCTTTTATTTATTTATTTGTTTAATATAAAAATAAAAATATAAAACTGGATATAAAAAAAAAATTTACAACTATTGGTATTTATATTTTTTAAAAAACCATTGTAAAAAAAAAATAATAGAAAAAATAATAAAAATTCCAATCCTGGTTTATCTCTTTTTTAGTTTATTTCTTTTTTGATATTATTTTATGTTGGTTGGTAGTGACCCTTCATCATTAATTTCTTTATACATTGTACAAACAAAAAAAAAACTATCTTTTTTTTACTTTTTAATTTTACCCTGTTGTTTATTATTTAATTTAATTTTAAATTTATTTTTTGTTTTTTTTGTTTTTTTTAATTTTTACATTTTTTAATTTATTTTTAAAACTATCTTACCCAGCTTTTTTGATCAATACTGGACTTTGCAAAAAAAATAGTTTTTTTTTTTTTTGTTTTTTTTAATATTTTTAATTTTTTTTTTTTTTGTTTTTTTTTTTTTTTTTTTCACATAATCGTATTACGCATGTGATATTTTTTAATAAGATTGGATCACACTAACCATTTTAATAAATTTAAAATAAAAAATAAAGAAAATTATTAATAATCTTCTTGCTTGGAAAAAATAATTAAATTTCAATTTTTATTCGTTTGAAAACAAAAATATAATTTGTGAATAGATATTTATAAATATATTATATAAATATATTATATAAATATATTATATAAATATATTATATAAATATATATTTGAAAGAGATAATTGTATTTGATTCTTTTATGAGGGATTTTTTTTCTTTTTATTTTTATTTTTTTTTTATTTTTATTTTTATTTTTTTAATTTATTTTAATTTTTTTTTAATTTTTTTTTTAATAATAATTTGGATATTATTAACACCGCTGCACCACCCCACTGCACACAATATGGATAAAACAATTGTATCATTTAAAAATAATGAATATTAGTAGTAATAACAATAGTAATAATAAAAATGATAGTATTAATAGTGATAATAACATAGAAAATAATAGTTATAATCCAATATTATCATCGCTCTTTTATAATGTTTTTCATAATATATATATTAAAAAAATAATATTTAAACATTTGAGAATTTTTAATAAAAATTACAGCACAAGGTTTTTATTTATTGAGCCTATAGAGATATTTGAAGATAGCTTACCCCTAAGTTCTCTGAAACTCTATAGGCATTATATGTTCAAAGAGTATCTATATTCCGTTAAAATAAACATATTTAATGTGAACAAGGAAATGGTAATCAACAAACTAAAGACACTGCCACCAAATATAGAGTGTATTGAATTTGATGGTAAATCATTCGATGAAAAATTACCGACAGATTTTTTAGTGGACCCAAATTCTACTGCTGGTGTAACAAGGTTCAAACACTTCAAGTTTAACCAGAGTTATAATCAAACCATCTCACATTATCAGTTCAATGGGTTACAGTGTTTGGATTTAGGCTTTTCGTTTGACAAACCTATTGGTATTGGGGTATTGCCAATGACATTGAAGACTTTAATATTTTCGAGTCATTTCAATCAAGAGTTGCAAGAGGGTGTTATTCCTTCCAGTGTTGTCAAGGTTGTGTTTGGTGATCATTTTAACACTCTATTATCACCGCATTGCCTACCAGATGCTTTGGAGTACATAAAGTTTGGATATGCCTTCAATCAAGAGATATCCTATGCTGGCATTATTCCGCCACAAGTAAAGTATATTAGATTCGGTTCCCAATTCAACAAAACCATAGAAGAGAATATCCTACCAGACACATTGGTCTATTTGAAATTTGGCTATCACTTTAATCGACCATTTAAATCTCCCTCTTGTCTTCCAAGTAGTTTAAAAACTCTCAAGTTTGGAAAGTCTTTTAACCAACACACAATGGTACGTGGTGTGAACATATTACCAACCAATATAGAAAAGCTAGTTTTAAATGGGTTCAAGAAATCAGTTGTAACACAAAAAGATAACTTTATACCAAACTATCTCCTTTTTAAACTTGCTACTTTAGACCATCCATTAAGTATCTCATCAATTTCACAAACCGTCACCGATTTAACAATTTGTGAATCACTCAAGATTAAAGCTTCAACCATTCCACCAAGTGTAACTGTATTAAAATCATATGATATTAGATATTTAAAAAAATTACCACACAATAACAACGTTACAACATTCAAATATCTTAACCCAACTCAAGCCCCATTTAACCATCACAACAGCTTAATATACGGAACATCAGCATCAGACCAATTCTACACAACAATTACTGAACTAGATTTTTCGAAATGTAAAAAGTTTTATATCAATTTCAACTTTTCAGTTTTCAAAAATTTAAAATCACTTAAACTCAGATTAAGCACCGTTACACAGTTCCCAAATTCATTAGTTTGTCTAGAAATCATTTTAAAAACTGAACCATTTGAAAAAACAAATCTATCATCATTAACAAATTTAAAATCTTTAAAAATTGGTTACTACTATTGCGAAAAAATTATAAATACAAATAAAGATAGGCCCACACTCCCACCATCGATCACCTTATTAGAACTGGGTAGAAACTTTACACAACTTATTTCCGAAGACTGGCTACCGAAATCAATTGAAACTTTAATCATAGATAATCAAAATACAATTAAAATGCCACTTCCTCCTTCCTTAAATCAAATTATTACAACACCTCTAAATCAACATTATCTAGAAAATAAACTATTGTTTGATATGGTAGTAATTATAAATCAAAAATCAATTATTAAAATTTTTAATGAATTAATAAATAAAAATAAACTATAACAGTTATAATCGTCATCATCAATAACAGCTGTTTTTTTCTTTTTCAAACATGCCGCTATTTTAATAATTCTATTTTATTTTTAGTTTATATAAAAAGTATTTCCATAAAATAATAATACACTAAAAAAAGTAAAAGACTAAAATACTTTTTTAAAAAAAAAAAAAAATTTGTGCTCTATTTTATTTAAAATTATTTTCCTTTCATATTTAAAAAACAATAATGGGTAAATAGGTACAAAGAAATCCAAAGGATATTGGATTTAATCAATGGGTCAAACCATTTATTTGCACATGTGGAGTTTCTTGCAAATTTTGGATGGGTTTTCGTGTCTCTTTAATTCAGCAATAACTTTGTGGAAGATCTTGCCAACTAACTGTTAATTTTCGAATTAAAAAAAAAATTTTAATTAGTATGTGAACTTTCGTTTTGTCAGTTTTTAAGTTATATATCTTACTTTGTTACAGACGTGGGATAATGGTTTGCCTAAGTGTTTGCATTCAGATGAAGCAAAGTGTTTACCTTCATCAGTACCTTTGTTGATGGCTTTTTCAGCAGCTTTGACGATGTGTTTACAGGCTGAGCACTTTAATTTCTTGAATGGGTTCCATTTGTGTGGTCTTAAGTGTTTCTTCCAGTGGTGTTTCTTGAGGAGATCATTTTCAACTTGACAAACACCTAAATCTGAACAAGCTTCAAGAGCATTTTCTTGTTCGTTGGCTTTGTCTAATAAGACGAAACCGAGGTTGTCAACAATTTCATTACAGGTTTCGGCAAATTCTTCACCGTGGTAGTTACAGGCTGAACTTAAAGCTGGAAGGATATCAACGACTGAAGCATTTTGGTAGAGGAGATCTTCAGTAACGCTGAAGGCATATTGGCACATTTCGCAATCGATAGCACGAACAGCGCTAGTGGCGAAAGCTAAAACACAGACAATTAAAAAGAATAAGAATCTCATTTTGTTGATGGATTGATTGCAGTTATTAAAAACTTTTTTGATAAAATTGGGAAAAAAAAAAAAAAACTATTGCTGATTTACTATTACTATTACTTATTTACTATTACTATTATTAACAAAGGGTTATTAATGTTAACTAACTATTTTTTAAATATAAAAGATTGTTGGATGAATGATTAAAAAAAAAAAAATTACCTCTTATTTATAGTTTTTATTTTTTTAAAAAAACCCAAATTATATAAAACTATTTAATTTCACTAGAGTTGGTAAAATAATTTGTAAATTTCGCAAATATATATAAAATTATATAAAAATAAATTTCCTGGTCCACTTCATCTAAATAAATTATCTAAAAATTATTTATATTTTAACTTGTAATTATTTATTTTATTTGTTTTTATTATTTTTCCACCTTTACATTCGAATTTGTCTTTTTTCGCCAAAAGCCATCATAATCTGATTGTTTATTATTTAAATGGTTAATGGTCTGAAAGTATATTATTAAAAAAATTAAAAATTAAATCATTTTTGAATTTTGTTCATGTCAAAAAAAATCTTTTTTTTTTTATTTTTTTCTTTTTTTTTTTCTTTTTTTTTTTTTTTTTTTCAACTTTTTATGAAACCAGAACAAAAAGTAATTTATCTGGTTACCAAAAAATTATAAACAATAATATAATTAGAATTTAATTTAAATAATTTATTGGTTTTTTTTTATAATCATAAAAAAAAAAAAAAAAAAGAAAAGAAAAAAGAAAAGAAAAAAGAAAAAAAAAATGGCATAAAGTAATTTAGCCTAAATTAATTTACTCTACTACCGTAATATTTTATAAAAAAAAGAATTGAATTTTTTTAAAATATACTAAAAAAACTTAATCACATTTTAACAACATTCAATTTTAATTCAATTAAGCAATAAATACTATTTTAATAATATAAAAAAAATTAGTAAATAATAATTGGTAATAAAACATATACTTTAATATAAATACTGCAGTTACGAAAGTATTTATGATTATTTATTAGTTTTTTTTTTTGACAATTGATCTTTTTATCATTGAAAAATATAAAAATTTTTGAATATAATATAAAAAAAAGAAAAAAATTAATAATAAAAAATTATATTGGATTTTTTTTTCATATTAAAATTAATCATAGTTTTTTAAAAAAAATTTTTCATATTAAAATTAATCATAGTGTTTTAAATTTTTTTTCATATTAAAATTAATCATAGTGTTTTAATTTTCATTTTTTTATGATTAGATTTTTTTTATGAGGTTTTAATTTTTCGTGCTGCGAGTACCCCCCCACCCACACTTTTTCGAATTAAAATTTTATTTTTTTTTAATTTTTTTATTTAATTTTATTTCTTTTTTTGGTATTTAAATCATCTACTAAAATTTAGAAAAGTAAATTAATAAAAAAAAATTGATTATAAAAACAAATTATTGTTTCTTTTAAAAATAATTTTTCAAAACAATCACCTTAAAAAAATCTCATATAAAATTTTATAGTAATCTCCTTAAAAAAAAATTAAATAATAATAATATTGGCTATAATTTATATATTAAAAAAAAAAAAATGGATAACAATAATAATAATAATAATATTAACAATAATAATAATGTTAACAATAATAATAATGTTAACAATAATAACAATGTTAATAATAATACATATAATTCAAAAAAAAATTTTAAAAGAAAAATAGAAAATGATGATGAAACTTCCATATTTAATATGAAGTCCATTAGAGTCGAGGTCCTTAACACCGAAATTGAATTATTAATTAAAGAAAAAGAAGAAGACCACAAAGAGATCAACGAGGCTTTCCAAAAACATAAAAATGTTTTAAATGAAAAGAAAAACGAAATCTTAAACAAAATAGAATCAAAAAAGATGAAAATGTGCCACACAGTTTCCAGGGTCTTCGAAAAGTATCCATTAGCTTCAGAAAATTATAAACAAAAAGTTGAAAGCCATGCCAAAAAAGTCCACAAACAAGAGGTTTTAAAATTCCATATAGGTCTCCACAAAAAACATGGTGAAATAATGAAAAATAGATCTAGATCAATTATGGAGACAATCAGAGTTAATAGAGAAAGAGTCGAGCAATTAAAAAGAGAGATCAGATTAGAAGAAATAGCCAAAGAAAATTCATACGGTAGAATGGAATGAATAGTTTAAATAAAATATATTATAATTTTTAGTTTTAAAATATCTCTTTTTTTTTTTTTTTTTTTAATTTTTTTTTTTTTTAATTATTTCTTTTTTAATAATAAGTTGTAGTATTTATAAATTTTTTTTTTTAAACAATAATATTATTTTTATTTATTATTTAAATTTTAATTGATATCGTTTCTAATAATATCGATTGGTTTTTTTGATTTTTAAAGGTTGTAATTTCGATTGTTGGTGACTTCTTGGTATCATTGTTTATTTTAAATATTTTGCGTATTTATAACTAAAGTCTTTTTTAATTTTTCTTTTTTTATATCTTTTGATGGTCGTAACGGATGGTGGCGCTGAATCCAATTTAAAGAAATATTTAGAGGGTAGTTTAATAGTATGTACCGATGGTGGTATCCAACTAGGCGATAGTTCCTGGGTAAAGTTACCTTTGATTTTGAGTATACGAACGGTTGGAGGTATGCAGTCTTGACTGTGCATGGCGAAGGTTTTATATCTTAGCGATAATTTCTCTACACTTGGTGGGATGGTATGTTTCGATAGATTTAGTTTTGTAAAGTATTCTATGGTTAGGCTTGTTACACTGTTTGGTATTGATAATGGTGTTAATTTTCTATTAATATTAACAAGCTTTAATATTTTAACGGTTGTTGGCAAGGGTGGTAGGTCTTCGTTCGTTATGTCGTTATTAAAGGTTGAATAAGACCAATTTGATAATAAAGGCTATAAATATTCTGTTGGTATCACATGTTTTTTTTTGGCAGCATATTTTCGGATCCCATTTATGTGAACTGCGAGTATTATATGTTTATGTGCACAACGTTTTATCCATTTTACTTTTTATACATTTAAAAAAAATAAATATAAAAACAAAATTTAAAAAAAAAAAAAAATTAAAAAATATCAAAAAATAAAAATATCTAAAAAAAAAAAATAAAAAAGAATTTAAAAAAAAAAAATTAAAAAACTATTTACTGTCAATTTTTAGATATTTTTTGATTCGCTGAATTATGATATAGCTATGCAGGTGTTTTTATATGCGTTAAAAAAAACTGTATTTTTTTAAAAAATAAAAAATATTGCAATCAAATCAATATTACCAATAAAAACCACCTTCTATCGTTACACATTACAAATAAAAAAAAAAAAATTTGAATGAAAATGTAAAAAAATAATTATTTATTTATACAATTAAAGTAAACCACGAGGAAGATGAAATATTATACTTTGAGTTAATTATTGCAAGGGTAAAATATATGTAAATTACATTTTTTCTTTGCATCAGGTTATGATGGTAACCAAAGTATTGGAATCAAACGAGAAGATTTTTCATATATGATATACAATTTTATTACCAAAGTTTAAATTTAAAAATAAGAAATATCACCAATAATAGGAAAATCGCCTATTAAACAACGTCGATCCCAATTAAAAAAATAAAATTAGAAAACAATTAAAAAAAAAAAAAAAAAATAAAAAGTTTTTTTTTTTTTTTTTTTTTTTTTTAATTTTTTTAAATTTTTTTATAATTTTTTTTTTTGAAATTTTTTCAAAATTTTTTTTTTAAATTTTTTAAAATATTTTTGTGTGTAGAAAATAATACATATTTTATTTTTTTTTTAAAAAAACTAAAAGAGTTTAATAATAATCTATTTCATTAATCAAAAATTTATCAATCACATTAATTTATATAAATATATATTCATAAATATAATAATAGAAAAAAAAAAATTTTAATATATTTTAATAATATTAATATATATAATATAATATAATAAATAATAATATCTTCACACACATATTTTTTTTTATATTTTTAATTATTTATTTATCCAATGAATATTTATTATTTTAGATATATAATTTAATAGTAATCACATATAATCACATTTTTCATATTCAAATTTTATAGAATAAAAATAGAAATAATTTAGTTTTATTTTTTTTTATATTTTTTTTAGAAATAAATAAGAATATAGTAAAAGATAGCACTAATAAATTTTCTTAATAAATTAATAAATATTTAAATTAATAATAAATCATATTCATTCCTTTTTACAAAAAAATAAAAAAAATAAAATAAAATTAATAATAAAATAAATAAAAATGTCAAATCAAGAATATTATTCATTTGATAATTTTAGATTATCACAATCCAATATTGATTTAAATGGATTCGTAAATCAATATGGATTAAATACTAGTATTAGTAATGTAAATAATAGATATAATTTAACATCTTTTAACGATTTCTCAAGTCAGTTAGAGGTTGAACAACAACAACAACAACAACACGCACATCATACCACAACTGGTCATATATCACCACCACTTTTAACCACAACCAATACAACTATTGTGCACAACGGATATGATTTAACTACATCACCATTATTACAACCAAGTTTATCATCAGTCCATAGTAATCATATTCAATTAAATCACCATCATCAACAACAGCAAACCCAACATCAAATCCAGCAATTATTATTACAACAACAACAACTACAACAACAACAACTATTACAACAACAACAAGTTCAACAGTTACAACAAGATGAATTATTTAAGCTTCAACAACAAATGCAATTAATGGATCAAACTTTTATGACTGGAGATATTAAAACAGAGTTGTTAGAGTTATACTCTTCAATTGAAATGCTATCACAAGAGTCTATTCAACATTTATTCTTTCTTTGTAAAGTTATCCAACCACAGTTGACTGAAGAGAACAGATTTCAATTACTCACAAAGATGTTTTCTGATATTCCACAGATAATCTCACAATTATCACTTTCCAACTATAATTCATACCTTCAAGATCCATCAAACCACGCCCTTAAATTATTTATGGATTTTAAAGAGTTAGCAAACTTATTCGCAAAGATCTCCTACATTCAATTGCATCATTTAACCAACAACATCATTCCACCAGGCACTCCACAAACCCAATTCTCATTTTTCATTAAAATTCAAGAATACTTCCGTTCCATCTCTTTTGAACGTCTTCGTACCTTTAACACTTCATTAGGTGGTGACAGTAATCTTTCCAATACCTTTTTACACGTACAAAAACTTTTATCCCTCGATCCAAATATTCCAATCGATATGATTCATTTTGTAGCCGGTATCGTATCCTTACCTCTTGGTGATCTCTTCCAATTTCATCATTGGTTTGGCAGTTTATCTAGAAAGCTATTGGCAATATTACTAGCCATCCTACAATTAGATTCCGGTACACTTTTAGATTTAAAAAGAATTTTATCAACCAATGTACCATATATAAACGATAATATAGCAAACTTAACTAAAAATATAAATCATATTTCAACCAATAATAAAATACCGCAAGTTAAAGTTGAATCACCAGGTTTTTCAATTACTATACCTCCACTTTTCCCAAATATAGATTCAACTACAAATATAAATAATGCCTCTATGGCAATGAATATAGAAACACCAATTTCACCTGTACAAAATTTCGAAATCTCTTCACCAGTCCAACCACCATCCTCACCAATTCAAAATGTACCTATATCAAAACCAACCCCACCCCAATCATCATCCATCGAATCTAAACCAACAACATTCGCCTCTTTATCCTCCAATGATTCAAGCCAAAGTGGTGAATCATCAGGATCCTATTATTTAAAGATTGCCCGTCAACCTCCATCATCAACTGTTTATCAAAGAATTTTAAAACCATTCCCTCAAGTAATGATTTGCGGTCCAGGTGTCGAAAATGAAAATCTTTCAAACTTTTATGTAGAAGCAACACTCTTAAGAAATGACGACCAAACTGAATTGGTCAATTGTATAGATGGTACTAAAACCAGTAGATTTAGCAGTGGTGTTTTCGCTCCATTTAAAAAATTAAAAATCCTTTCAACTACCCAACAACAAAGAACTTTATTCCGTTTAAGATTTGCTTTAAAAAGATACGTAAGAAATGAATCACAATCTTTCCCAGAAGCTATTGTTTTATCTGATCCAATCGAAGTATTTTCACACACAATTTATTTAACTGATAAACAAGATGGTAAATATTTATTATTATTATTATTATTATTATAAATTTATTTCATTTTATTAATTATTTCATTATTATTATTATTACTTTAGTACCATTACCACCAACAGTTCAAGAAATAATTCCAGCTATGGCTAGAGTAGGCACAAGAGTTGTGGTTTTAGGAGCCAATTTCTCAAATGGTAATGATTTGAAAGTTTATTTTGGTAATATTGCAGTTGCTGCTACCTTTTACGAGAAAGGTACTATTATTTGCACAGTTCCTACAAATGTCAATAGTACCAACGATGTTACAATTAAAGTTACTAACGATGGTACTCAATATTCAAGTGAATCAAATGTTATATTTAATTATATACCATAGCCTAATCTTTATATAAAAAAAACTTTATAATATATCATACATAACATAATCCATATGGTTAAAAAAAATATAACATTATAAAAAATCAAATATAAAATTAATATTTATAATAATATAATTTAAATAATAATAAAATTTAAATAATAATAAGTTTATACCAACAACAATACCAACAACAATAACGATAACAAACAACATCCTCCCCTCCCCCTATAAATAAAAATATAAAAAAATTAAATAAATAAACTACAAAAAAATTAAATAATAATACTCTTTTGTTTTTTATTTTTCTTTATATTAACATATTTATTATTGAAATATTATGGTGATAATCTTTTATGGAACCATGAGTTTGTGTTGTCATTACTTGGTAAATATTTGATACGGTCATGAACTCTGCCACCTTTACCTTGCCAAAACTCGAATGCTGATGGAATAACTCTCCATCCACCCCAAAATGGTGGTAATGGTACTGGTTTGTCTTCATAAAGTTTTTCTAAACGTGTTTGATTATCAGCCATTTGTTCTTTAGTGATTTCCGATGATTGGAATTCGCTTACCCATGCACCAATTTGATTGGCATGTGGTCTGGTTTTAAAGTAGGCTTCAGATTCCTCACGTGAGACTTTTTCGACTTTACCTTCGATACGAACTTGACGTTGTGTCCAAAGAAAAGTTAATGCGGCATATGGATTCTCTGTTAATTCTTTACTTTTACGACTGTTATAATTTGTATAAAATACAAAACCTTTTTCATCATAGTGTTTTAATAATACTATTCTAGCCGATGGTTTTAAATCTATTGAGCAGGTTGATAATGTCATTGCATTTGCTTCTCTATCTGACTTCCATTGGATTTCATTTGACATCCATAAATCAAACATTTTAAATGGTGAGTCTAATAGTTCGTCTTCTTCCAAATGTCCCATTTTATAATCTTCTCTCATATCTGCTAATTTGATTTTATCTGTTGATGCCATTTTTGTTATTGCTATATTGATTTATTTTTTTTATTTTTTTTTTTAAAAAAAGTTTTATAAATAAAATATTACAAAAATAATAATATTATATGTATATATATATAGTATGTTATAATTTAAAAAAAAGGTTAATGAAAACACACAATTGTAAATTAAATTAAATGATTGAAAATGAAAAATTAAAAAAAAAATTATTTAAAAAAAAAAATAAAAAAAATTTAAAATTATTTAAAAAAAAATTAAAAAAATTAAAAAATAATAATGATTAAAATTATAACAATAAATTATATTTATAATAAAAGAATTGAATTTAAATTTAATTGGAAAATAAAGAGTTAATAATATTTTATATGGATGTATTATTTATAATAGGATTTATATACTTTTATGTATTAATCTTAAATTGTTATTTTTAAACATTTTATTTTTATTATAGGGGCACCTCCAAAAAACCAATTAAATAGTTATTTGAAAAAACACAATCGAATACCTTGTGTAATACCAAAGAAAAAATCTTATGGAAAAAAAATTAAATTAAACAAATATGATGATTATAAAAAAAAGAAAATAATAAAAAAGATTTTTTTTTATTTTAATTTTTTTTTTTTTATTTTTTTTTTAATATTTTTTTAAAAATTTTTTTAATTATTTTTTAAATTAATTTTTTTTTTTAATTTTATTTTTTATTTATCCAAAAAAATATAAGGAATCTATTCATAATAATTATCATAATAATCATAATAATTACCGTTATATTTATACAACAAATTAAATCAATTTAAATTGATCCGTTTATATATTGTATTAAATCATTTAAAGTTAACTAACACGCTGTAAATAAAACACAAAGAAATGACAGATATAAAAAAAAGAGAATTTGAAAACGTTGATTCACTTTCAAACTATAACGAAGCTGATTCATCAAAGAGACTAAAAACCGAAAGTGATGAAATTGATAGATCAATGTAAGTAGATTTTATATGTTTTTATTATATACATTGGAGATTTAAAATTTTAGGAAATGTACTAACGTTTTTTTTTTATTCTTAAACAGCGAACCCAGTCCAGTAGTGCACTGCAGAGGTTTACCAATCACAATAACAGAGAGCGATCTTCATTCTTTATTATCACCTTTTGGAAAAATTCAAGCTGGTATGTATTTTAAAATAGTAATAATAATAAAAATAATAAAAAAAAACAGCAACAGCAACAGCAATAGAAACAGTAACAGTAACAACAAAAGCAGCAGCATCACATTAATTCCCTTTTGAGTTATCCATTCATTCTTTTTTTTCATTTCACTCATATTAACACAAAACACTTCATTTCTTTTTTTTTTTTATTATTTATTTTACACCATATCCACTTTTTTCTTTCTCTCCAATGAAAATCTTCAAAACAAATTACTCAAAATATCATCATACAAACGAAACACGAATTAATTCTCAAACTATGATAAATATTACGGTCACGCATGCACCCCTCTTTTTTTCTTTTCATCATCAAAACACTATAAACAAACCCAAAAAAAAAAAAAATTAAAAAAAATTAAACAAAACAAAAAAATATTTAACAAAACAAACACTATAGTATGCATGCTAAGAATGGGCCAAGCATTAATCGAAATGGATTCAGTTCAATCATCATCAAATATCATTAACCGTTCTATAACAAAACCATTCTTACTTAATAATCAAAAAGTATTTTTTTTTTTTTTCTCTTTTTTTTTCTCTTTTTTTTTTCACTCCCAAATTTAAAATATTTTCATAATATAATAATAGTATATTATAATTTTATTTAATATCTATGCAGAAATTAATCTTTTTTTTTTATTTACTCTCAATTATTTAGATTTTATTTTCATATTCTAAAAGTCAACATTTAAATAATGTAAAGAAAAATCAACCAATGGTCCCAGGTGGCTCAAATCAAAATATTATATTGTGTACAATTTTAAATCCATTTTATCCAATCACAACCAATACATTACACACTATAATGTCACCATATGGCAGAGTACTAAGAATTGTAATTTTCCAAAAGAAAAGCGGTTTACAAGCTTTTGTAGAGTAATTATCGATTTAAATTAGTGATTGTAAAATTATATATAGCTTACTAATAAACAAACAATATTATTATAATTATAATAGATTCGATTCACCATATTCAGCAAATACAGCCAAAGAAACATTAAATGGTTATAATATTTATACAGAATGTTGTAAATTACAAATTGAATTTGCACGTGTTTCAAAATTAAATGTAAAACAAAATGATGAGAAAACAGCAGATTATACAACACCAGATTTCTACAGCCAACAATTGATTCAATCACCACAAGGTATGCAAATGTACCACCATGCAGCCGGTAGTAATCCATTTGGAGCTAGCCATGGTGCTGGTTTTATAAATGGCGGTGGACCACAACAATATGGTGGGGGTAGTCATTTACTCCAACCACAACATCATCATCATCATCACGGTGATTTCAAACCAGGTTTACATCATCCAGTTGCCACTGCTGCTGCTCAATCTATTCCACCACAACAACCTCCAATGATGTATCCAAACGCTTTAGCTCCATATATGTATCCAGCAGTTGGTAACCCTGAATCAGTAAACCAGCCTGTAATTTCAGTTAGTAAAATCCCAGAAGATATTGATACCGATAAATTATTCAATCTATTTTGTCTCTATGGTAATGTAATCAAGATTAAAATGCTTCACAACTCCAAAGGTAGTGCTATGGTTCAAATGGGCGATAGTATTCAAGCTGAAATTGCTGTTCAATGTCTAAATCATTCTTTTATTTATGGCCAAAAAATAAATTGTTACCACACCAAGCATCCTTTCATTGTAGACTCTGAAAAAACCAAAGATTACTCTAAATCAACTTTAAATAGATTTTTAAACAGCCAACCATATGGGAAAAATGCTTATAAGCCATCAAGCACTTTACACTTTTTAAATGTTCCACTTCATTACTCTGAAAAACAATTATCAGATGTCTTTGCTAAAAATGGTACTCACTATCCAATTCACGTTAAATTCTTCCCAACCAAACCGTATGTAATTAATAATTTATAAATAATATAGATAATAACCATTGATAACACTTTTTATTAATACTTTTATTCTCATATTCAGTGAAAGTACAAAACATTTAGGTTTATTAGAGTTCCAAGATACAAGATCGGCTACTGAGGCTTTAATGGATTTAAATAACTATAAGGTCGAAGGAAATCCATTAAAATTGTCTTTTACTATGAATACTATTCATAAAACTGATGCTAAATAAAGATTACCCAATTTTTATTTTTAATATAAAATATAGTTTTTTATTTTTTTATTTTTTTATTATAATTTTAAGAATTTGTACTATATGATTGTTTATTTTATTTGTTTACTCAATTATAATTGTTTTTTTATAAAGGTAGGTGCCATTGTTATTTTTTTTTATAATATAACTTGATATAGATTAAATTGTAATTGAATCTCTTTTGAAATGGTTAGAGCTATTGTTTTGTTGCACTGGTTGTTTAAAAAATAAATAAAAAATAAATATTTTAAAAGAATGATTATATTTAATATTGAAATTAAAAAATAAAAAACTGATTATTAATAGTATTTCAATCATTTGCTATGGCATCATCCTCTTCTTCATCCATATGATTATCTTGTGGGTATGTATGTTGTATGTGTTGTGATGAGTGGTGTGGATGATCCATTTCAAAACCATCATCATTTTCATTGTGATCCCCATTTAGCATTGCTTGATAATCTGTTTGGGACTATAATAAATATTATTAAAAAGTTAATATACTATTAAAACAATAACAATAATTAAAAAAAATACCTACATATTGGTATTCAAGCATTTGAGATTTATGTCTTGAAGAAAAACTATTAAATAATGTGGCGGTATTTAATCTTTTAATTGGAGATACTGAAGAAGCTGCTACATCGTTAATGTTCATTGATAAAAATTGATTTAAATCATTTAATTTTTCTAATTGTTTAGTTGGAGAAACTGTTATATTATTATTATTACTATTATTTACACTTGTATTTACACTTGTTTTACTATTATTACTGTAATCTGTTAAACTTGTATTGGTTCTTTTAATATTAGGAGTTAAAAACTCAAAACTATTATTTCCACTATTATTCATAACACCGCTATTATTGTTATTGTTATTATTATTATTATTATTATTACTATTATTATTACTATTATTATTACTATTATTATTACTATTATTATTACTATAACTATTCATACTACTATTGTTACTGTTACTATTTAAATTTTGTGGTATTTCGAAAAAACATTCATTCCTTATTTTCTCTGGTGAAAATGAACTTTCTTCAAAGTTTGATGTAATTGTATTTAAACCCAATATTTTATTTTTATTATAATTTGAAAAGAGGTCACTGTTTGTTCTTGATAAAATATCGTTATATGGTAATTCATTTAAAGGTTCGTCCATTCTTTGTGTATTTATTAAAACTTGACCATTTTCATCAAATAAAACCTCGTCATCATCCTCTTGTTGTTGTTGTTGTTGTTGCTGTTGTTGTTGATCAAAATTTAGTTTCTTTAAATCCCTTAATCTTTTTTGTCTATATCGCTTTTCCTCCTCTGTTTCTGATATCATTATGTTTGCTATATCCTCTTCATCATATTCGATATCTTTATCTTTATTGACAAACTCTTTAATTTTCTTTAAATCCTCCCCCGGAATTGGTTGGGTTGATTTTAGATAGTTTTCATTATAATTTCGTTCCAAAAATTTATTCTAAATTGTTATTATTATTTAATTATTTAAAAAAGTTTGAATATTAATATAAAAAATTTTAAAAAAAAAAATTTTAAAATTTTTGGTTTTTTAAAAAATTTTTTTTTTTTTTTTTTTTTTTTTTTTTTTTTCCAAACGATTTTACAATAAATTTGCAAATAATTAAAAATATTTATAAATAAATATTAAATTTCTATCTCTATCTTTTATTATATAAAAAATAAAAAAATTTGATCTAAAAATTAAATAAGTGCAAAAAAAAAAATTTGTCTGAAAGTAATATTTTTTTTAATTTTTACCATTCCATAAAATTATTTTATTTGTGCTCAACATCAAACAAATTATAATAATCGATTTAGATTTTTTAATTAAAATAAAAAAAAAAATATATTTTTATTGAAGATATTTTAAAGGTGTGCTCGCACTTAGGCGTCTCTTTAAAAAAATGTTCTTAATTTTTTTTTATTAATGATAGTTGCATTGACAAAAAAAAAAAAAAGATTTTTAAAAAAAAAAAATTTGATTTTTTTCATTTTTTTTATTTTTTTTTTTTTTTTCTTTCAATTTATTTTTTTTTCAATAGCCTGCATAATAACAAAAAACAATAGTATATTTGCTTATCAATAAATCTTAGCTTAATAATAATCACAGTATAACATTAATTAATAAATAAAATTAAATAAATAATTAAACAAATAAAAAAAAATATATAGTCAAAATATAAAGAAAATAAATATTATAATAATTAAAATAACAAAAATCAAAATAATCATTTATTGCATTATATAGTGTAGGGATTCAAAAATAGTATTTAATGTGTTTTTCATTTTTGTGTTATAATCTTAAATTTGTTTTTAAACTGTTTACGATAATTATTATAATTATTAAATTAAACTTTTTTAGATGAAAAAGTAAAGCCACCACAATATTCATATAGTATACTTCCATATTATAGTTTTAATTTAAATCCCACTCAAAACTATTTCCATTTGGGTTTTTATATTATTATTTTTTTTTTTGTTTTTTCTTAATTTGTGCTATTTTCTCTGATTTTTTAAATGTGTTTGTAATTTTTAGTGTATCGTAAAATAATATACTACTATATCTTTGTGTGGTAAATTGTGTGTGTGTTTTATTATTTGTTATTTTTTTTATTTTTTTTTTTAGGGGGAAGAGGGGTTTTTTCATTTTTAAATTATTTAATTTAGTCCGCTGTAGTTAACTCACATTGTCACACATATTCAATTGGATAGTTTGTTATTGTATTTTAATGTTGTTATTAGTGTTGCCATTCATTATATAAATTAATGATATTGGTACTTTTTACATTTATTTTGTTGTTCATTAACTCTATATTTCATTAAATTAATGACAAATAAAAAAATAAAAAAAAAAAAAAGAGAGAAAAGAGTTTTATTTATCTGTTAATTTGTTGGTATTTTAATTTTTTCTTTCAAAATAAAAAAAACAAACTATCATTTCATATCTATTTTTAAAAAATAAATAAATAATAATATTAAAAATTGTTATATATCGTTATCATCACCACTTTTTATATATTTGGAAATTACCAAAATTAATTAAATATTATTTAAATAAATTAAAAAAATAATAAAAATAAAATAATAAAATAACAAAAATAATAAAAATAATAAACCTATCAACTATTCCTTTATTATTTCTTTATTAATGTTTAAATTTAAATATTTTATATTATATAATAAATAATATTAATTCGGAAAGGTTGATTAGGAAAAATTTAAAATATTCTTTATATATATATCCAAAATTTAAATAGTTCGTTTTTTTTTTAACAACCTAATAAATAAATAAAATAAAATAAAATATAGCACACTACAATAAATTCTTGGGTGTTGTATGTAATATTTTTTAGTTTTATCATTATGGTTCATTATAATAATAAATAAATCAATAAAATTTTATTATAAAATGATTTTTGTAAATATTAAAAAATAAATTTCTTATTCTAATCACAAAATTAATAAGTGTGTTTTTTTTTGGTTTTTGTTTTGTTTTTGTCAGGGTGATAAATTGATTTGGTAAATTATTATTAATGTTTTTATACTCTCCCATTATAATCCAAACCCATTTTTATCTATTTCTCACCACCATTTATTTATTTGTGTTATCTTCAAAATTTAAAACAATCATTTAAAATTTTAAATTAATATAGATAAAACAACCACAATAAATAAACAAATATAGATATGAAATATAATATTTAAAATTTTATAAAAACATAAAGACAGGACACATAGAAATATTATATATAGGACGAGTGTGATAGATTAATAATAATAATAATAATAAAAATAATAAAAATAATAAAAAAAAAAGATAGAAACAGGGAGGAATAAACATATCCATATTATAATTTATATAGTATTTTTCAATTAAATGTTTATATATATACAAATAAATATTTAGATAATAAAGTAATAAAATATTTATATATTATAAAAATATATTTAATATTATTATTATTATTATTATTATTATTATTGTGTTTATTTGTTTTTGTTGTATAAATAAAATAATAGATACCCTATGATATATTTTATACATTATTTATCTATCTCACACTTTTTCCCAATACTTTAAAACTAAAGATATTTGTGTGTGTTGTGGATTTTTTTTTAAATACAATAAACTCTATATATATTTTTTTATTATTATATATTTGTCTCTACCACACATCATATAATATCATAACAATACATTATAAAAAAAAAAAATCTATTTTCTCTCGCACACCCCAACCCACTCAGTACTCACACCCCACATAAACAAATATAGATAGGTCACACATACCCCCACTCTGTTTCATATCTGTGTGTTTATTATTTTTATTAATTTTTGCTTTTTATTGTGTGTCTTTTTTTTTTTTTGTGTTTAGATTAATTTATATTTATTTATCGATCAATAAAAATTATTGAAAAAAATTAAATTAAATCAAAAAATAATAAAAAAAAAAAAACTATTCAGTTATTTATTTATTTTTTTTTTTTTTATTTTTTTTTTTCTTTTTGGTTTAGTTTTATTTTTTTTTTTCTTTTTTTTATAAATTGATAATATTATTTTAAAATTAGAGACAACAACAAAAAAACAATAGTTAACGACACGATATTTTTTTGTATGTTATTTTATCATAATCATTTTTTTTTTCAAAATAAAAAAAAAAAAAAAAAGCAACAATAACAACAAATAACACAACAACAAGCGGCAACTTTGACAATAACAATATACAAATAGTTTATTATTGATATTATTGATATTAATAACTTATTCTGAAATCAATAAACACTTATCATTCACACAACCCACTCAAATAATTTGTTATTTTTTTTTTCTTTTGTTATTTTAAACACTTATTGTTATTTTTTATTTTATTTTATTTTATTTTTTATTTTATTTTAAAGTTATTAATTTTTATTTTATTTTTTTTTATTTTAAATTTTGTAAACAATAAATATATACAAAAAATAATACCCTTTCATTCATAATTTCAATAAATATAAAAAAAAAAAAGTTTTAATTTTTAACAATAATTTTTCTTTATTATTATTTTAGAGATCGAAAAAAAAAAAAATACAAAACTATAATTTTTACAAATAAAACCAATAGTAGTATACTCATAGCAATTAACCAACCAATCAATCAATAATAGAATCAATACAAAGCAAACTGTTGTATATTATCTTTTTTATATAATATAAAAATGACTGTATTAGTAGAATCAAACCAAAGCAATCAACAATACAAAAATGAAATTGATGCCAAAATTTTCAAAGTTTTAGTAGCATTTTCACAAAATATAGAAAAATCTTTAATAAATAACCAGGACATATTACATCAAGCAGAAAATACACTAGGCAATAGAATAAACTATCAAGCTCAAGCTATAGATTCATCACAACTTGATCCAAGTAATATAGGTTTATATACTGTTCAATTGGTTAGAAATGTTATTAAAAGATCAAACGATTTATCTGAAGAATTTAAATTATTTGTTTCCGAACAACTCGAAAAAGAGAAACAATATAAAAATGAAATTCAATATTTAAAGTCAAGAGTTGACCAATTACAAAAACAACAACCAGTAGTTTCAATTCAACAACAACAACAACAGCAACAACAATCATCACAACAATCATCAACTGTTTCAACTCCACCAGCATCTGAAGCTAATAATAAAATAATAGAAGAAAAATTAGAAAACATTTCATTAGATGATGATTCCAGTAGTACCGCAACTACCAGTCCAAATAGCTCAAATATCGACATTCAAAATAAAAAATTATCAAATGTTCAACAACAATCCTCATCACCAGGCGGCAGCAATTTATCAGTTTCATCACAACACTTAGATTGGGATACCAAATACCAAACTGAATTACAATTGAATGCAATGTTATCAGAATTTTTAAAAGACGATTTTGAAATTTCAAACAGTCTTGGTGTATCTGTCGATGAGGTTTCATCAACCTCCTCACCTGCCATCTCAACCACAACCACCAATGGTTTAGGTTCAAGCGGTTCATTCTCTCCATCAAATACTTCTCCAGGTCTTAATCATTCAAACTCATCATTATCTATAGAAAACCAAAATATTACTCCATCCCAAAAGAAAGCCATGTTAACTGATTTATTAGATCAAATTGATTTAGATAACGCCGGCGCTGCCAATTCTCCAAACAATACACCATCAAAACAAAAGAAGGGCAAATTTAAATTCTTTTAAAATGCAATATAAATACCAATAATAATAATAATAGTAATAATATAAATAACTTTTTTTATATATAAATATACATATATAGTATTATATACAATAACTATATTAGTTATATCAAAAAACCTCCCATGTTTAAATAGTATTAGTAATATTAATAATAGTAACATACATATCTCCTTTAAAAAAAAAAAAATTCGAATAAAAATAAATTGATTAATGTAATATATAATTAAATAAATAAAAGATTATAATAGATTTTTTTAGTGTTATAAATATTTTATTGTAATAATTTTTTTATTTAAATTATTTTTTAAAATATATATCTTCGAAATAATGTTCACATGATTTAAATTCTGGCTTTTTAAATTTGAGGTACAGATGATGGAACAACTCTGGGATTTTAAATTCGAAATAATTTAATACTGAACTTTGAGATGCCAATATATCTAATATCTCTTTGGAACTTGTTGCCTGTGCTTGGGTTTGTGTCGAGGATGGTAATATCTTGTTTTGAATAATTCTTGAAATATCTTTGTGGTGCTGAATTGTATTTCTAATGCAACGAACTAAATCTTTGACCTGATCGTGTTGATAGATTATTACTTTTTTACCTGTTTCTTGCGTTAATAAATTTTGTTTATAATTAATATGCTCCAATAATGTAGTATCGATTAATTGGTTCCATGGCTTTGGTAAAAATTGAATTTCTTGCTGCACCTGTTGTATTTGGGGTTGTTGTGGCTGCTCCTTAAGATTGATTAATTTATTTAGCTTTGGTGTGAAAATATTAGAGTCTTTAAAAAGGTTGAAGCATATATCTATAAATTTAATTTTTTCGCCAACACCCCAAAACAATGGATGTTTAACTATTATTTCGATGGGTGGTCTATCTTTTTCATTTTTTGAAATCATTTGACCAATAAGATCTGCTGCTAGTGGATAGTTTGTTGCCAATGATGACAAGTCAAAGTTGTTATTTACAATATTATACACTCTGGAAAATTTGCAACCAAATGGATGTTGACCATTACTTAATAAATAAAATATAATACAGCCTAATGAAAATATATCAACTGATTTGGTTTTTCGCTTTTCCATTAGCACTTCAGCAGGATGATAACCTTCTTGACCAGTTGGACCATGCATTGAATAATTAAATGATGTTGAAACCTCCATTTTACTGAGACCTAAATCTGATATCATAAATCTACCATCTTTAGTTAAAATATTTCTTGGATTTAAATCATTATGTACAATGTCTTGTGAATGGAGAAACTCTATACCACCAATTATATCTTTTATTAACGCCAAAGCCCTTGCTTCAAATGCTGGATCATCTGTAACACCATCATTACCTGCAATAAATTGTTTTAATTGATTTGATTCCACTAAATCTTGTAATGATTTACCACATAAAGTTAACCCTAAATAAACAAACATATCATCTTCTTCTTGATCTATATACCTAATCATAGTTGAACAACTCTTATCTGTTAACTTTACTAGTGCCTCTATCTCTTTACTGATCAATGGGTTAAATGCTTTTTGCATTTGCTTGATTGCAACAGGTATTTTATCATTCCATAAACCCTTAAAAACCAATGTACCATTTGAGCCCCTACCCAATATATTATCTTCCTTTCTATTAAATTTAAATTTTCCAATTTTAATATTATACTCGTTAACGTTTTGTGGTGATGGTGATGGTGATGGTGATGTTGATATTGTTGATATTGTTGATGGTGTTGATGTTGCTGAAGTTACTGGCGCTATTGTATCATTGCTGATATTATTAAGTGGTTTATCATTTTGATTTTCTTGTTGATTTATCTTTTGTGGCTTTTCATGTAGGTCTAAATGTTGTATCTTTTCTTGCTGTGGGGATTTATCCTGTATCACAACATTGTTTTTCTTTGGTGTCGATTGCTTATTATTATTATTTAACTTGGTAGGTGTTGTTTCGTTATCTTTAGCTTTATTTTGGTCCTGTTGCTGTTGTTGATTCTGTTGTTGTTTCTTTTTTTGTTTTTTTAATTTTTCTTTTTTTTCTTGCTTTTCTAATTTTTCCTGTTCTAACAAATCAAACTCTGCCTGAATAGACTCCTTTGTTCTCGAGACTTTTTTCTTTAACACTGTTGATTGGAATAGTAAAAGCAACTCTTGTTTTTCAAATGGTAAACCATCGGATATATTCATAAATCTTTTTAAAATAAATGTAATATTTTGAGTATTTTGAAATAAGAATTGAAACTCTAATAAATTGAAAATTCTTGAAAATTGTTTTGGTGAGTCTACAATTGTTTTAATCTGTGGATAATTTTTATAAATTGACTCTTCATCTCTGTAAACCCCACAGCTGACCATTGATTGCACCCAATGTTTAATATCTATACTGTCTGTAACATTATTATGAATATCCAACAAGAAACCAAGGGTTAAATGTGAATTTGTAAAAAATATTAATGGATCTCTGTTTTGGTATTTGGGCTGAATCGGTATAAATCTATGTAATGTGACTAAAGTACTGTGGCTATCAATACCTCCACCAATAACTCTTTTTAACAATGAATTTTCATCTAATAATTGATCTCTAGATAGCTGGTGCCCATGTTGAGTTAAATTCTTGAATAATGCTAAGAGCAATTCTGACTGATTTAGATCTATTAACCTGGTGACTAAAGTGCATGAATTGTGTAATTTTTGGTTTTTAATAATATGCTCGGTATTTTGTCTCTGATTTGTGCTGTTGTATAATTCGAAATCGAAAGCTTCACCTGATAACTTTTTATCATATAATGCTAATATAGTGGGTTCAAATACCAAATCAGTTATGTATAAACTATTTTTATTAAGTGGCTCTGGATTAATCAGTATTGATGACTTTGTTAACTGCTCGATAAAATTTAAAGCTTTTTCTTGTAATAACTCGACATCTATATCACTCTTTCCTTGTGATTTAAAGCTGTGAAAATTATCATTAATATAAAACCCATAAAAATGATATAAAGTGAAAAAAGGTAATAATATACTGTTACTACTATTATTACTATTACTATTATTATATAAACCCATTAGTGATGTTTTCCTTGGTAACTTTAATGTATTTATTGGTTTTGATAGTAAAAACTCTAAAATTTTATTTGAAAAATATTTTGATGCAATTTCTATTAAAACGTAAGGCTGTATATCTCTATGAACAAATCTATTATCTTTACTATTTAGATCCTTGATTCTTTTTATTCTAGATTTATAAATACTCTTATTTGATGGCCCAAATTCGTATGAAGAGTCTGTAACCTCAATCCCAATATATATATTTGTACTTAAAACCAACTTTGCAATATTAATTGAATCGAATCTACATATTAATGACCAAAACTCTGTTGTCTCTAACTCGTCATAGAATGTTTGATAAAGTAATTGAAAGGTTTGCACGTTATCATTTCTAATTGAATGGAATATACTAAATAAATTTGATTCCTCTCTTGCTGGTAATAATTCATTGTCTAGTGTACCTATAATACCCGAAAATGGCAATGTAAACATATTTGACACCAAATCGATTGTATATGGCTCCTCTTGATTAATACTATTGCACAATGAACCTACTATCTCCAAAACACCACATCCATCAAAAAGCTGATACATTTCAAATATTGATAAAAAATTATTTAATGATTGATCCCTTGCTTTGAAATGTGTTGAAAAGATATCCTCTATAAGACCTAATAAACTTGGTTCTCTTGCTCTTAAAATTTTATGGTGGAACTCATCCACAAACTTTATTAAATTTGGACTAAAATAAAAAAGTTAATATAAATATATTACAAATATGTATATTTTTAAATAATCTTTTTTTTTACTTACTATTCCTTAAAAGTATCATTGAAATCAGATATTGTAAAATATGGGTGTTTGAGCCTTTTAACCTTTTGGCATATGACAAAAAGCATTTCCAAAGTGAAACCATCTTTATCTAATAACGAAGGAGGAGTGGGTTCTTCTGAATAAATTAGATTAAAATATTCATAAACCCTGTCGATTTCATATGAACATTGCTTTAACACTGATAAAAAATCCAAATGTATTAATTCCTCATTTGTTTGTTCATTTTTATCCATTATTTTGTGTTAAAATAATTATTTATTATTATGTTTACAACTATTATTTAATTTTGTTTATTTGATTATTAATACATGAATTTATTTTTAATTTTATCTTTATTTTTTAATTATTATTATTATTAATTATTATTATTATTATTATTATTATTATTATTATTATTATTATTATTAACAAATTTAATTTATGATATTTTATTATATTTTGTGTTTAATTGTTTAATCTTTGAAAAAAATAAAATAATTAAAAATAAAAATAAAATTAAAATTAAAAAAAAATAAAAAAAAAAAAATGAAAAATAAAAAAAAAAAGTTAAAAATGAAATTATTTGAATTTTTTGTTTGTTATAATAATTATTATAAAATAATCAAAAAGATATTTTTTTCAATCATATTGTTTGTGAAATGATATTTAAAATATAATAAAAAATGAAAATTAATTTTAAAAGAAAAAAAAAAAAAATATAAAAAAATGCTGTGAAATAGTGTGTATAAATAAAAAAAAATGGAAAAATAAACAATATAATACAATATAATATATTACAATAAAACTAATATAATAATAATAAAAAAATAAAATTTATTAACAAAAAATCAAAATAATGATGGTTATGTTATATTTATATTTTGTTATAAATATCAATTTATAAAAAAAAAAAAGAAAACCGAGAACGTGACATTTTTTAAAAAAAAAAAAATTTTAATTTTTTTAAAAAAAAAAAAAAAAAGTTTTGGATTTGGGCATATAAAAACTTTTTATATAATTTTTTAAATTTTTTCTTCTTTTCGGTTAATTGATAAATTCACATAAGACAAGATGGTAGGAATCATATACAGCATAACAACCATAGTTCATTAAATCCATTATCTCATAGTGGATCACCAAAGATTAATCTTTGTATAGAGTTATCTATCTCTATTATAATGTTCTATCTGTTATCAATGGTTCTCTCACTACTTTATCGTTTGCAATCAATTTATTTCATCTTTAGTGTTAACTCTGCTTTAGATATAATTTGATAAGAGATAAATGTAAGAGGGGTAATTCCAGATTAAAAAAATTTTAGAATGTTATAACTAACATTTTTTCATTTTTTTTATTATTCCTCATAATATATATTATAATATAATTTATATATATGTTATTGTTCATCTTGTAACTTTGTTTATATTTACAAATTATTTTACACAAATAATCTAATCACAAATGGATGATCAATATTAAATTATATATAATTAACTATACATAATATATTATGTTTTTTTTATTTTTTATTTTTATATAGGCTCGTGGTCCAAAGAAACACTTAAAAAGATTAGCAGCTCCAAACCATTGGATGTTAGATAAATTATCTGGTAAATGGGCTCCAAGACCAACCAGTGGTCCACACAAATTAAGAGAATCATTACCATTAATTCTCTGCTTAAGAAACAGATTAAAGTATGCCTTAACCAAAAAAGAAGTCACCTTAATCTTAATGCAAAGACTTGTCAAAGTTGACGGTAAAGTCCGTACCGATCCAAACTACCCAGCTGGTTTCATGGATGTCATCACCATTGACAAAACCAAAGAAAACTTCCGTCTCTTATATGATCCAAAAGGTCGTTTCACTTTACAAAGAATCACCCCAGAAGAAGCCAAATTCAAATTAGCTCGTGTTGTTAAAGTTGAATCAGGTAACCAAGGTATCCCATACGTCCACACTGATGACGGTCGTACCATTCGTTACCCAGATCCAGCCATCAAAATCCACGATACCGTTAAAATCGATATTGAATCAGGTAAAATCACTGCTTTCATCCCATTCGATATTAACAATCTCTGTATGATCGTTGGTGGTCACAATCTTGGTCGTGTTGGTGCTATCAACAACCGTGAACGTCACGCTGGTTCATTCGATATTGTCCATATCACCGATAGTGCTGGTAACCAATTTGCCACTCGTTTATCAAATGTCTTCGTCATTGGTAAATCATCCCAAACCTTTGTTTCACTCCCAGCTGGTAAAGGTGTCAGACGTTCAAGAATCGACGAACGTAATGCCGCTTTAAAAAAGAAAGGTGAAAAAATTACTGAAGCCCACTAAATAAATAAAAGGTTTTATTAATTTTAAAAAACAAAAATATTTGATTTTTTTTATTTTTTAATTATATTATTTTATTTGTTTTATTATATAAATTGTTTTATTAATTTATTTATTATATATTTTTAAAGCCAATCAATTTTACGCAAATTTAAAATAACTAAAAAAAAATACCCACCAAATTTTTAACATTTTCTCGCACCTATTTTTGAAATAACAAATGTGGGCAAATTTGAAAGGTTTGAACAATAATTTAAAAACAATTAATATAGTTGTTGTTTATTAGGTTATTTTATAATTGATAAAATAATCTTTGTAATTTTATTTTATTTAATGCTTTAATTTTTAAAAAAAGGTTAAGGTCATATTTTTGCACATTTTTAAATAATTCATTTGTATTGATGATATAAATGGTTTCTAAAGAGTCTATTGTTGATAAATCATTTGATAGATTGGTTTTATATGATTTGATAATAAGTGTTTTAATGTTTTTAGGTAACCATTCTTTGGGTAATTGGGTGGAAGAAAAGCTTGAGCAAATTTCTAAACATGTCACAGAGTCTGGTATTACTGAGTTCTCAACAGGTTCATCGACTCTCTTTTTGGTGTTTGAAAATTTTAAATATTTGAGTGTTGGTGGTAAAGCATCTTTTGGTATTTTAAGTGGATATTCTCGGAGTTCAAGTTTTGTTAATGATTTTGGAAGTAGGTTTTGAGATAGGGGGAGTCTGAATTGTTGACTGAGGGAAAGAGTTGTTAAATGGGGTGGAAGGTTTAAAAAAGTGTGTTTGCAAAAGGTACTAAATGTTAGAGTTTCGAGTTGTATTAATTTTGAAAGTGAATCTAAATTATTACTAAATTTGTTGTTGATTCTAATCTTTTTTAGTTTCGAGTTATTTGATAAAAAATCTAGAGGTTGGTCGAATAATGAATTTCTGCTAAAAGAAATTGATTTAAATTGATCTGGAATAGAGTTTTTAAGTGCTTGTTCACATTGGAAATTAAACTTTATACTTTTAACTGATTCTGGTAATATACATTGAATTTGTTCTATTCTTGAAATTCCTTTTATCTTTTTTAACTGAGTACATTTTAAAAATGAGTCATTTTCAATTTTTATACTTGGTGATAGGGTAACTTTGATTAGAGATTCTGGGAAATATATTGCATGTTGGCTATCTGGTGAATGTTTGAGTGATTTTACTTTTAAAATTTTCAATGAATCTGGCAGTTTGAAGTTTTGGATGTTTCTATCATAGAGATACAATGTTTCTAAACCAATAGGTAGGTTGCCAATGAGACCACCACAACTAATGTCAATTTTTAAATGCTTTAAGTTTGTTGGTAAATATTTGCAATCTATTGTTTCTTTATAATTTAAGTCGAACTGGAGGTTGGTTATTGAATTGGGTAATACATCTTTTTTAATTTCTTTATTAAAACAAAGCCCAAAGTGTAGTGTTGAAAGTTTTGGAGGTAAATGGCCAGGTATTAAATACTGATTAAAATTTTCTCCAAAATACAAGTTGGTTACAGAGTCTGGAATATCCCCATCAGTTAGGGGTTTGTTGAAACAATTTGATAGGTAGAGAGTCTTTAAAGTTTGTGGTAGCAGCCCCTTGGTAAGTTTTTTATTAAAAAAATAACCCATGGATAGATGTGTTAATGATTTAGGAATACCAAATAAATCAATTTGTTCTAATCCTTTTGAGAATTTTAGTCTCGTAATTGATGAGTCTGAAAAGAGTGTTTTTGAGTTTGATGTAATATTGCCATGGATGGTTAGGTTTTTAATTGAGGATGGAAAAATAAAATTTGGTGGGATTATTTTTAAATCAAAGATTTCTATGCTATCAATATTCGGAGGTAGATTCTTTATTATGTTTGATAAATTTTCGTCATCTGGTGATGGGATGATAAGTTCTATAGATCTAAAATACCCTAAAAGTGTTTCTAAATTTTCTTGATCGATATCTTTTTTATTTGTTTCAACTTTTTCCAAATAATAGTCAATAAAGTTTTTTTTATTATAGTTATTATTTATAATTTTATCGAATATTTTTATATTTTTGGTATTGATTATTATATTAGCTGAAAGACTATTAATTAGTGATAAAAAATAAAAAATCTTATTATTAATTACAATATTTCTATAACATTTAAAAAATAGTATTGAGTTATCTATAATATTACTATTGTTACTATCCATATTATTAGTATTATTATTGCTGATGCTAATATTACTATTGTTCATTTTTAATAAAAATGTAAGTGTTTAAAATAAAAAAAAAAATAAAATAAAAAAATAAAAAATTAAAAAAATTGAAATAAATTAGAAAAAAATCCAAAAGTAATATTTTTTATTATAATTGGTGTTCTAAGAGTAAATAGTTAGTAAACTAATTTACTTTAATTATTTACATAAAACAATTTTTTTTTTTATGTATTGTGCTTAACCTATCAAAGAAAATCTTTTTTTTTTTTTAATTTAAATTTTATTTTTTTTATTTTTTATTTTTTCTTTTTAAAAAAATATTTTAAATTTATTTTTAAAACAATGTAAAAATAATGATAACACACAGTAATAGTAATAATAGTAATAATAATAATATAGATAGTAATAATAGTAATATTATAGATAACTCTACATTATTTTTTAAAATATGGAGAAACCGTTATTTATTTAATTTAATAATATATTTTTTAAAAAATTGTAATCTTCATTATTATAATGTTTTAGTGAGAAGTTATTTAATAAAAGATTCATTTATCAACGAGTTAAAAGAAGGTTATATTACATCATTAACCTTATATTCAAATGCTTCAAAACAGAAATTATTAAATATATTTCAAATTTTACCAAAAACAATTGAATCAATACAGTTTGGTGATCACGCTTTTAATGAAGAGTTTTTGGTTGGGGAAATTCCGCATTTTATAGAAAGAATTGTTTTTAATTTAAAGTGGAATCGAAATATAGAGTTAAATGTATTACCAAGTAGACTAAAAACATTGGTATTTAATCAAGAGTATAATAGCCCAATTTTACCTAATGTTTTACCACCATCATTAACTCATCTTGAATTTGGAAATGACTTTAATCATCCCTTGGGTCCAGGTGTTTTAAATCAAGGTTTAAAGGTTTTGAAATTTTCACATATATCAGAGTTTAATCAAAAATTACAAGAGAATAGTCTACCAAGTTCACTTGAAACCATTAGATTTGGTAAATTCTACAATAAAGGTATCAAATTGAATGTATTACCACCAACATTAACCCATCTAGAGTTTGTAGAGGATTCGCTTTTCAATAAACCAATTAAATTCAACTCTCTTCCAAATAGTATAACAGTTTTATATTTTGGGGAAAGTTTTAACCAACCATTATATTATGACGAAGAGGATAATAAAAGTAATAACAGCAATAATAATAATGATATTGATAATAATAGTAATCGTAGTAATAGTAATAACAAATATATCTATAAATCATTATTACCCATTGGTTTAAAAAAATTAAAGTTAAATCAAAATTATAAACAAATTAAATCATCAGTATTTGAAAATAGTCACGGTACAACTAGTGGATTATTTTCATTTATTAATCAAATTATATATTCAGGTAGTTACTATTATATAATACCAGATTCAATAACATCACTTTATTTATCACCACAACTATCAATCCAAAAAGATTGTCTTTTTTCAAATAATTTAGCTTGTCTTAAAACTCTTGGCATTGGACGCAATATTAAAAATTTAAAATTCATCCCACCCACAGTAGAAAAGCTAGTAATCGATATTGTATTGCCATCATCATTTCCTGCCAATAATATCACATATTTAAAATTTGGTAATTTTTTTAATTTCCCCATCAAGAATGAGTTTATCAATTTAAAGAAGTTAAAAAGAATTCAATTTGGTGATTCTTTCGACCAACCATTAGGGCCCATTAAATTCCCAGAGAGTATTACATGTATAGAGTTTGGGGAGTATTTTAATCGTCTATTCTCAAGATCACAGCTACCAAAGAATTTAAAGCACTTGGTACTTGGCGATAGATATACAAGATACTTCGATTCTATAACATTCCCGACTAACTTGGTTTCGCTTAGGCTTAATAAACATTACTGGAGAGATGTAACAAGAGAAATGTTCCCAACGACTTTGAAATTATTAGAATTAGGTTTGGATTTCAAGCTAAAGGGTGAAGACTTTTTACCACCATATTTGGACAAGTTAATCATTAGAGGTCATATTCAAAGGAAATCTGAAATACCAGTATTACCGTCTACCCTCACTACCCTATTCATCCACACTACCAACAAATATCTTTTAGATCACCAAAATAAAGAGGAAAGTTTAGAATCATTAAAACCAATAATCAAATTCTTTTCAAATAGTTCATTCATCAGTGGTGAAGATTTAAATACTTGCGATTACTTATTCAAAAAATTAATGAAAAGAATGATCAAATTAGATTGTTAATTAAATTATGTAATATAAATAAATAATAACCAAATAATTGTAGTATTAAATAAAAAATAAATAAAAAAATAAAACCCAATATTCATTTTATATTATTTTAATATATATTATACATAACACAGATATTATATATTAAATTTATATTTAGATACTAATATTATTTTATTATTTTTAGACTATATTTTTTTTAGATTTCATTTTTTTTTGGTAAATATATATTTATTCCCCCCATATTTTTATATTTTTTTGTGGGTAGTAATTAAAATTGGGGGGTGTGAATGAGAGTTTTGCAAAAATAAAATAATAAAAAATAAAATTTAATTTATAAAAAAATTTTATTATATTTTTTTTTATTTTTTTTAAAATTTTATTGTTTGATTAATTTTTTTATATTAAATGGAAAATTCATAAAAAAAAAATTTAAACAAAAAAAAATAAAACAAAAAAAAAATAAACAAACAGAAAAATAAAACAAAAAAAAAAATATGGAGGTTTTAATAAAGGGTGAAAAAAGAATAATCAATATCAATAATATACTATCAGGTAAAGAGACAGATATAAAAGAGCAACTAATATGCAAAATATGTCAATCTATAATGATGAACCCAGTTCAGTTTTGTGAAAGGTAAATAAAAAATAATTACAATAAATATAAAAAAAAAAATTTGAAATTAATTATTATCTATTTAGTGGACATGTGTTTTGTAAAGAATGTTTAACAAAGTGGTTGCAAAAGAACGTCAATTTAAATAGTAACAGTAGCATGTGTTGTCCTACTTGCAGACAGGTATATTACTATAAACCCTTATTCATTGAACAAAATAATTTTACAATGAATCAGAAATATTTATTAAGTTCAAATAATGAAATAAAAAGGAAAATAAATAAAATAAAAGTAAGTTTATTATTAATAAATGGTTGTTAAATTTTATAGTTATGGTTTTAAATAATAAAGTGATAATTTTTATTATTTTTTATTTATATAGGTACATTGTCCTTATTATTTTAAAAATGATGAATTAAAAGAAATCGAGGAAAACAATGACAATGGATGTAGAGAAATAATAAGATTTGGGGATGTTGCAAATCATATAGAGACATGCGAATATAGGTTTATAACATGCTCTAGTCAAAACAATGGTTGCAAGGATTTAAGGTATAAAGATAAAGATAATCACTATGAATCATGCCCTTATATAACACTACAGTGTTCATTATGTAACAGTGACCATTTAAGAAAGGATGAAGAAGAACACCTAGCCATATGTCCAAACGTCAAAGTACCATGCAAATTTTGCTCAAGTAATATAGAAAGAAATCATTTAATTGTCCACTATACAGAATGCCCAGATTACCTTATTGAATGCGAATTTAAGGATTATGGATGTAACGATACTTTCAAAAGGTGTGACAAGGAGGTTCATTTATCACAATATAGATACCATTACGATTTTAATTTAAAGAAAATCAACGCACTATCAACGGAACTAGAAAAGTTCAAGATATATTATTCAAAAAAGATTATTGTGTTTGAAAAGGTTAATATTTCAGAAGGAAAAAAATCGAATATTGTTTCAATTTCAAAATCTTTATTTGGTCAGCATTGTATGTTATATGTTTCAAAAAAGGAAAAATATTCTCACTTTGATGTTTTTATTAAATCAAATAATAAAACTATATTTGAAGGTAATTATTTATAAAAAAATAAAAAAATAAAAAAAATAATTATTAACAATATCATTTTTTTTATTTTAGAAAAAAATATTTCTTTAAATTCTTTCCTACAGAAAAGAGTATACATGGTATGTA